AGCCAGCACCTAAGTTGAATGTTTTCCTTTATAAGAGTTAAAGTGGTCTTGGTCTCTCTTCACAGCAATAGAAACCCTAACTAAGGCACTGATCTTATGCAAATTACTCAATTTCTTTGCCCCTGCTTCTCATCAGTAGTTACCTGATTGTGGTAGAGACCGTGGAAGTTTCCAGAGTACTTTGCAGAAGTAAGCTTGTGGTGATTGTGACTCACCATGGGCATCCTGGCTCCTGCCTACCTGAGCACTCAGAACAATGGGTGGGGCCATTATGATCCATGAGTCACCAAACAGAGGAACACAGCAGTTCCCACTCAGTTCCTGTTTAATTGTTGCCCACCCAACCAGGTGTTTCCATCCAAGTCTCATCTCCCTTGCAGGCTATGGGAAAATCTTCAACAGTTCAGCGGTTTTGAACTCCTTTCCTGTGGTGGTAGGAATTCAGTTCTTCCAGTGGGAGATCCTTTATCTGCCAAAGATCCAAAAGAGAGGAGAAGGAAAAAACAAAATATCCAGAGGCTGCTGCAGGAGGAGTGTGCATGGTATGTGTCCTTGTCCATGGAGTGCTTTGGAACATGCAACTAGGCATTCCTGAAGAAACACTTTGCTGCTGCTCATGCCAGCATCTTGAGCCCATCCTAGTAGCCTGGGACTTCCAGTAACGGCTTGTGTAGACTTTCCCAGAGCAGCTTCACTGACTTTATTCTTTGAGATTTTCTAACATCTTACGCAAACTTATAATTCCACTATTGAATCCTCCCATCTTAAAATGGCCAGACACTTTTGTATTTTTAGCAAATCCCAATAGTTAGAGGCTAAATTATTCCCTCCCATTCATTTATCAAAGGCCTATTAAGCACTGCCCCAGAAGGTGGCTGCATTTAGAGACAAGGTCTTCCCTAATGGACAGCTGTCCTCTTGGACCTGGTATCTTCACATAGTCTTTTCTCTGTAAGCACACTCCCTGGAACCATAGTGCTTTTTCTTTTTATTATACAGTACTCTGTCTTATAAAATCAATATCTCTATTGTGACTAATTTAAATTTGATTATGTGTTAAACACCAACCTCTAAGTACTACCACTTTTGGGAAACTCAAATTGGTTCACAATAGTATTTAAATATTTTTGTGTGAAGTAATGCAAGTCATTGCTGGAGCTTGTTCATTATTTATTGTTGTTGTTATTAATAGCATTATACCTGTGAAAGTTTACTGTCATTTATAATTCTATTTTGATGATTAGTAATTTCTTTCTTGTTTGTGGCTCTTACAGGTCTTTGCTTTAAAATCATTACCTCAAGGAATGGAAAATAAGAACATCACCAACTCTAATAAAAATACTGAATTATTTTCTGTTATTAAAATGTGCATGTTAAAATCAGACATTAACTTTATAAGATAATATTTTAAAACTAGAATCTATGCAGAGATAGAGATGATTTGATGTTAATTACTTTAAGATATGTTTTTACAATATGGGATGTAACAATTCATTAGAAATGACCTATAGTCCTTATAGTCAAATTGAGTGTCTGCTAAAGTAACAAAGAATATACCTATATATATATATATATATGTGTGTGTGTGTATGTATATATTTCATTATACATACAGAGTTTGTATGAAATATTTCTTTAGTTCATGCCAAGAAAGTAGGTGCTTATGGATATAGAGTTCCTATGAGAAATGAAATGTATTTAAATGGACTTTTTTCTTGCAAAAAGTGTTAAAATGAAATCATGAGGGCAGTCCCTAATCCAGTCGGACTGGAGGCCTTACAAGAAGAGACAGTTTGGATACCCAGATACACTGGGATGGGCATACACAGAAGAAACATCATGAGAGGACAGTGGCAGTATGTACGGAGGAAGGCTGCAGAAGAATCCAACTTTGCCAATACCTTGACAATAATTACAGTTTTACTGTAATTATCAGACAAATAAGAAAACTGCAGTGGCAACTCTGCTAAACATTCACTGTCTTGTTAGAACTGCATATCCTCTAATTGTCCCGTCTTGGGCTGGGCCAGGTTGGTGGGGACAGTTCTTGAAGGTTCCACCTATTTGCAAGTCACTTAAAAAAGTCGTATAAAATCATTCTTATCCAGAAGTTGTGGGTCCACAGCACTGTGTGAATCTCCATCCTGAACAGTCTGGGAAGGTGGTTCAGTGAATAAGACAGTTGCTGTACCATCATAAGGAACCCATGTACATAAGCTGCATGGATGTGATGGCCTGCCTGCTGTTCCTGACCTCCAGAGGTAAAGATGGAATTCTCAGGGTAAGTCCAAAGTAGATTACCCAAGCAGCTAGCCCCAGCTTCAACAAGAAAGCCTAAGTAAATAAAAATAGAAATCAATCAAAGATGGCACTCGATGGTACCCACACATGTGCATCAACATGTAAGCAAGCACACATGACACATGAACATCAGACACACAGTCTCTCAATCTCTCTCAATCTCTCTCTCTCCCTAAATGAGGGCTGGAGTCTTCATACACCCCAGGGAAAGGGGTGCAGGGTACATTTGTCAGGATGGGGTACTTCAGTTGTGTCTGCATAACTGTAAGAACTGTTGTGTGCATATCCACCTCCAGCCAGCCTGGCCAGCAGGTGCTCCCTGGGAATGCTTTGTCAGGCTTGTTGCTGACAAAGCACAGCCACTCAGGCAGGTATGTGGCAACATTATCCAATTCTGTAGTCAGTTTTCAGAGATACCAAAAAATAAAGAATAGAGTGGGGGTGCAGCTTGAAAAGGGAATGGATACAAGAAACCTTGTGTGGCTTGGGAAAGAACTCTTGGGGTCCCTCCCTGAATAGCAGAAGAGTGACAGAGGGCCTGAGATTCTGTCACCGTGGTTTAGCACTCTAATCTAGAGCAAAGGTCTTCAACACTTGCTCTGAGCTTGCTCCGCCCCAAGTGTGGACCGGTAACACAGGTAACACAGATTCTGTGACACACTGGCTTTTGTGGAATCAGGTGATAGCTTGCAGCTCTTGCCTGCATCTGTGGGTTGATGCACAAGAGGCAAGAATTATCCTCTCTTCCTGGTGAGGAAATCACGTTCTCGGAGTTAGCTTTCACAAAGGCCAATCAGTGTCAACTTTGCTGACTGGATTCCAACCCAGGCCTTACTCAAAGTCACGAATTTAACCATAAAATCCAAGCATTTAACCGTAAAACAACACATTTAACTATTTTGTCACGTGGCCTCTAGAACTCACTGAATTCAACACCCAGAATGCTTGAATCTGCCTACTGGATAGATTTAATAGAAACATCACTCCCAATGTGCATGTGGACCCTCCAAAACCACTGTATCTCAAGTACAACTTAATATACTATTTGCTCCATCTTCTGGCACAAACAAAAAGTGACAGGGAACTTTTACTACTCCCAGAAAATCTGAGTATAAACAGGAATTTCATTTGTGTACAGAAACTGGGAAACAGGTCTGCTTTCTCTCTTGGGTATTTAAAACATTTTCTTAAGTTGTGTTTTTAAATTGAAATGAAGTTGAATTACATATTTCGTCACATGGTTCATTACAAGACTGCATCTGGCTTCCGTCTTGATTAGATAAGACACAGAAACGGCAGCTCACCCAGGGAAAGGAAGTACAGTTTTTAAGCAGAGATGGCCAATGAAGTGTACAAAAAGCTTTGATTTGTTTTTATACGAATGAAAGCAAGCAGAGTATCTCTATCCCATTCCTCAAGAAAACCTGGTAGCGATTTGGGTTTTCACTAAATATTTGTTTAGTTTCTTTTCATTTGACCTATTCTCATGCTTGGCATTTAGCCACAAGCAGACTCTCCCCTCTCCAGGCCGACAAAAACTGAATGACTCCCACAAACAGCCTCATTTCCAATTGATGCTGGCCTCTGAGCACTTGCGTGCGACTCACACCTCTGCATGACTAATGCAGGTCGTTTACAAGCTGTGTATCATCTTTCCTCAGTTTAGAGGTTCTCTCCACCCACTTCTAAATATATTTCGGTAAAAGAGCATGTGAGTCACTGAAGTTCATTTTTCACACTGGGGACTGAGCAGAAGATAATTAACCAGGAGGAGAGACACTATTTCTCTTGCTGTTTAATGTTCTCCACCAAACACCAGGCAAATACAGCAGTGAAGCAAAGCAGGAAGCACAGCACAATAAGCAAATGACAGGGACACAGTTACTGCTACTTGGAAAAAGAGAGAGAAAAGCAAACTTCACTATTCTGTTTTCTTTGGGAAAGCCTGTTATGTTAATTCCAGAAGATCTTGTTAATGAACCAGAAACAACACAGATCTAGAGATCTAGTTGGCCCTTTAATGGTGTAGTAAGGTTCAAACCTGCTCAGTTTTAAGCATTTGTTTTCACTGTACACACACACACACACACACACACACACACACACAGAGAGAGAGAGAGAGAGAGAGAGCGAGAGAGAGAGAGAGATGAAGCAGTTTTTTTCTTATGTTTTTGAAACCGCAGCACTCCAAAGGATTTCAGTTTGGCATATTCTTGTCTTGTCTTCACATGAATATATTCAATTAATTTCCTGTTCTCTGGTTGAAACAAAAAGAAAAGAAAGAATGAAAACCCGGAGCTAACTGCTCTTCCCAAAGTCTCTCTCTCATGCTGCTACCACTTAACAAAAATGAACCAAATCCTTTTGGCCTTGCCGTCGGTGTTGTTGACTAGATTACTCAGTTCTCCTGTTCCCCAAGTCCTCAGAAGCTCCTACTTTTCATTTACTAGATATCTGCAAATTAAACATATATCCTTGTTTCCCCCAGGTGAGGGATGGTAAGAATTTTCCTTGGAGCTCTGAGGCACTAATCCAGAGCATGCCACCGTCCGGGGGGACAGTAGATTCCTTACTAAATAAAAGCACTAAGGAGATAGGCCATTGATGAGTTTCTGTTGGCTTCATATCTACTTCATTGAACAGCTTCTGACTCTCCAAAACTCATAGACTGATGACAAAGAAGGACAAAGCACTGCTGCCACATTTAACACTTGTACATTTTATTTAGTTAAATCAGCCATTGTACAACATTGCAGCTATGTATTGTTAGTGTTGTATTGTTTTCCATTAACTAATACATGCCCTCATAGATATATTCAATTAGTGTTATCACCATGGGAACAAGATGCTGATTCATCAACTGAAAATTCTGAAAATTCACTTCTTCTCACAGTATTCAAGTTTTTTTTGATAACACAGCAAAAAAAAAAAAATCAAAATTGAAAGAAGGTGAATGACCATTATATTGCTACACAGACATCATCTGCACTGCAAATAACACAACAGAAAGGCTTTTCATGAGCTCCGGTGAAGTTCTGACAAGATGGCCATGGCATATCTCAAAAAGGGCTGCCACATGCCTCTCTTGTTCTGGATGCCAAAGAATACTTTGTTTCTACTCAACCCCCCACAGAAAGTGCTAGCGTTAGGGGCTCAGGAGATTTGGGAGATGGGAAACCTCTCTCCCAAGAAAATTCCTCTCTTGGTAATGTTACTTTAAAAGATGAAGTGCCATTGTTTGTCCTGTTTGTGTTTGACATTCCAAGCAATGAGTCAGTTCTGCACACAGGAAAAGGCCAGATAGGATTGGACAAAGTTCAGTCTCAGGAGAGTACACTGTTTTCTTTCTTTCTTTCTTTTTTTTTAAATCTCATCTTCATTGAATATACTTTTCTTTAACAAATAACTGATTCAAAACGTATACTGTTTATATGAATATATTTGTGACTATATATATATATGTTAAAATGCTACACAGCTTCAACCACTAGAGGGATTAGACACAGGGCATGGGGATCACTCAGTCATCGTCCCTTCTCTGAAACAAACAGAAAGTTGCACAAATGCACTTCAGTTTCCAAGGGTGTCTGGGTTTCAAATAAATAAATCAAAAAAATTAATCAAAACCAAATTTTCCAAGGATTTCTCAATCTCGTCTGCAAGCCGAAAAGCAGACATAGCTAGAAAATGAAAGCCCATGGTTAAAACCATTAGTATGACAAAAAGGGTTTGTGTGTGTGCGTGTGTGTGTGTGTGGTGTGTGTGTGTGTGTGTGTGTGTGTGTGTGTGTGTGTGTGTGTGTAATGCCACATGCAGGTATTAGAGAAGAGATACACCTGGAGGTGGGGGTAAAAAAAAAAGCAAAAGAAACCACTCCAACATGGTGACATCATTTAACATTTTGTGTGGTGCATAAATCTTGTTTCCAATGAATTATCTACAGTGCAGTGGCCAGAAGAAAGTACCACCAGTAAGACAGCGTGGTTTGCTAAAGCAGCGATGAACACTGGAAAACTACAGTAGTTATAGCTTTTTTAAAATACCCTGCCAACGTGTCCAAAATCAAAAACACCTGAAAGTGCTAGAACACCACCCATGCAGCTTCTAGCACCAGAATACCTCATTGTTTCCATCCGCTTGTCTGTGCTCCCTTCTTCCCCTCCCTCAGGGTGGCAGCTGGAGAGCCATCATCGATGGCTGACCAGTACTAGATTCTGCTCCTTGGGATCATTCTTCAAGATTATGATCCTGTATTTAGGAGCAATGGCTACTCTGGAAGTACTAAGGACATGTCAAGGTCTGAAGTGTTCCTTTCATAGAACTGTGTTACCCTTAACTGTGTTAACAATATCTTAATTAACCATTGTTCAGCAATTTCAAGAGGCTTTTATTCCATGATGCCCAGTGAAATTATGACAGGCAGTGGTTTAAATTTTACTCTGTTGTTCGTCTGAGAATGTCAGCTATATACATTATACATGGATATCCTCGGAAACATTCCCCTCTGTCACTTGAAGAAGTCTGCAGGTGAAGTTCTTCTGATTTTCATGGAGCCTGAGCAGAAGCAAAGAACAATGGAGGCGCCAGTTCCCAGGTTAGCACAGATGCTCAGAATAGTGGATACAGCATCCAGAATGAAGGATGCTATCTTTGGTCACAAATTAGCTTATAGTTAGAGAGGGTGGGGGAGAAGGAAGCAAAAGAAAATGCCTTGTATTTGCCAAGAGTGGAAATGTCACAGGATCCCAGTAATTAGGCCACTTGGGTCACTCCTGACAGGAAATGGGAAGTTGCATATTGAGTGGGTATGTGGTTTCTGGTAAGAACTGGGCAGCTCCTCATTGGGCCTCTTGCTTTGTGTTCTCCTTGCAGAAATGCCGAAGGAGTTGGTGGAGATCTCTCTGGAGGTCGTCTTGGTCTAGTGCTCCAGGAACATCCTCCAGGTGCTCCAAGTTGATGCGTTTTCCCTGCTGGTCCTTCACCACAGCCCTCTTCTGTGTACTGGCTTTACTCATTGTTGTCCTACAGGGAGCAGATCAGATAATGAGACCCTTTCCCTGACACCCATGGACTTCCTGTCATACCATGTATTTATTCCTATTAGTTTAATGATGACAGGTGGACAGTTATGTTTCTCACATCTCTCATAAATGAGGCTCTCCCAAAGCTTAAAAAGTGTATTTTAGAACAAGAAACATTGATTTTTTATATCTTTAAAAATAGTTCAAATAAAGAACACTATGCCTCCATTACATTTTCACAAAGAGAAGCCAGGCCATGGCTCAGATTTTGGTTAAGTTGCATTGATCCAAAAGGTTCTCGCTTACTCTGAAATAATGATACCAAAAGCATCATTGACAAAATCAGAAAATCATATAAAATTCACTCACTTCCCATTCTGAACCTTGCCCAAATTTTGTTTTACTATGAGATTTGATTTCCATGAGATTGAAATCTTTAAAAACTGGAGTATTCTACCAAAATATGAGAAGGGGACTCTGAAGCTCCCTTGAGAGTAAGCAAGGGAGGGAAAGGAGATGGAGATGACTCCCAAGGGCAAACACTTTCTGTGTATCCTTGGGACCTCCACGTGCTTAACCAGTTCTGCATGTTCCACCATGTCAGTCAGCAGGCATCTTCCTTCCCCTGGTGCTCCTTGAGAAAAGATGCCCTAGCTTGCTATTTTATTTCAAACTATTATTTTCTTAGAGTCTCCACTTGAAAATGATATTGTAATGTGTTCTTTTTCTATTCTTCTCACCATCTATTTATGAGAATAATGCTTCATTCTGCAAATAGGTGTTGAATGTATTTTATGTACTGTCTATAGTTATAACAAATAAGAAAACTGACCTTAGAAGGTTTAAATTACATCCCCACACTTTTTCTTTTTTAAACATTAGCTAAGGGTCCAAGATTCCTGAGTCTGGGTCCATAAGCAGGAATCCATGGATCTTCAAATCCAACAACAAAGAATGACCAGGTATTTTCCTTATGACTTTGCAGTGTTTTGAAACTAGAAGTTTTAACAATGGTCATTCTAACCTGATGCTAGTTTCTAAAAATTTACTTCTGCCCAATTCCAGCTCTCCTTTGGCCATCCTTGCTTCCGACCTCCTTCTCCAAGTCTCTCTTAGATATTACATACATTGCATTTTCATTTGATGCCATATCTAAATTTGTTCCTCTTGATGAAATGTTCATAGTTGATCACTGTGGCTGCAGTCAGTTTGTGTGTTTCTGGCTGTTCCCTATCATTTCTGGTTTGTTTACTTCACAAAAGACAAATATCTGTCTCTTTCTGCCAGGGATTAGGAGAAGGTTCCACAGTTCTGGTGTCAGGGGGCAGGCCTACAGCGTGGGACTTTTTTTTTTTTTAATTTTCTGCAGATGTGTGCAGATGTTTATACATACACATGTATATGATAAAATGACTTCAGTAATGTAGAAACTCAAGTGCTGTTCACCAGAGTCCCACACTGACTAGCAGTGTGCATGCAAGTTGTTTGTTACTGTCTTCAGCTAAGTGTCCACCACTTCAAGGACACAGGGAGGCAACTGCTCTCCGAATCTATTCCAGTTCAAAGATCATGGGATGCCAAGGTTTGCAAAGGCTATATAGTTTCAACCAAACAATCAGACAAAAGGGTTCAACATTCAAAGCAGAAGCATTTTATCCGTAATTTATACGGCATTTAAAAGCTCTAGGCAACCAATTATGTTCTTCTAAATTCATAGCTGCTACTGTTTCTCACATTTGAGCTGAAGGCGGGACTGTGACAGAACCTTAATTTTGCTTGTAATTATTATGTTCCAGAAACCTAAAATAGCCTTGTGGAGTACTATAAATGACAATCTTTCTCCCTTTTTCAATGAGATTGGAAGCACAGCAATAACTTGGGCTCCCATTGTATCTTTCACTGAGAAGCTAAGAGGTTTGTGAGAGTAGTGATGCTTACAATGGCGCTAGAGGACCAAAGTGGTGAAGAGAGGCTCCAGAAGCAATGCTCAGTTCTGACATCAGAATTGCAATGGAGCCTCACAGCGAGCACACGAGGGAAAGGCTGCTTACCATTCACACATGCTCTTACTCATGCTGCTTGCGGCAACATTCTGTACATCCAGGACCTCAGACATCAAACATGTGCTCTTGTTTCTTGTCACTCCCATGCATCACCATGGAAGTTGTTAACAGTAAAAAGCCATGATAGAGGAAGACTGAGCTTGATATAGTTAGTTGCCAAGTTAATCAGTGTGCAATCGATTAGATTTCTCTTCATATGGTCTCCAAATCTATCAACACAGTGGTATTCCCCACCGGCTTAGCTCCAACTGTATTGACAATTTGCTTGAACCCAGAAAGCCAAATTGTATAAACAAATGTCTCACCATCACTGTGTCTCAGTATTAATTTGAAAGCATCAGTGGACATGCTAGGGGCAACACACACACACACCCATGCCTGACCCAGGCCTTCTCACACAGGGCAGTCAGAGGCTCAGAAGGGCTCTACCCTTCCTTTCTAGCATTAGAAACTTTGTATCATGTTAGTGGTCAAAACATCACCCCATGCTAACCCAAACCTCTTAATTATTGATCCATCCTCCTTCAGGATTTCATTTTCTACTAAACTGGGGAAGTGAACTTTCATGTGGCTACCTGTGTAACCCAAAGCCTGAGATAAGAAAAAGAGAAAACAAGACTTGACTCATAGATCACCGACTTTCATTGAAGCAGTCTACTGTTTTACTAGTTAGTCTTCTGCTTTACTAATTAGTCTAATGCTTTACTAATTAGTCTATTGCTTCACTAGTTAGTTTAGTGTCTTACTAATTAGTCTACTCCTTTACTAGTTAGTCTACTGCTTTACTAACTCTGGTGGTACAAAAGAGGTATTCGATGGGGTAACATATGAGCTCATATGTGGGTATCGAGTTTTATTTAACACGTCCTTTAAAATTCCATTTATGTCACAGATAATACTCTTTGTTAAAAGCTTGAAACTGACATCTAGACTGACTGACTTTAAATTTTCCCCTTATTTGCCATCCTCCTTCTGATTGTGGAGATTTGAATAATATATATGAGCTCATATGTGGGTATCGAGTTTTATTTAACACGTCCTTAAAATTCCATTTATGTCACAGATAATACTCTGTTAAAAGCTTGAAACTGACATCTAGACTGACTGACTTTAACTTTTCCCCTTATTTGCCATCCTCCTTCTGATTGTGGAGATTTGAATAATAAATGAGATCATTTATCAAAGACAAAACCAGATACAGGGTCCAATGTACAACTTAGACAATTCACTTTTTGAACACCCAAGAGGTCAAATGTGCAGAATTAAAAGTATTTAAAGAAAGTTTGCTTTAAATACAAAAATATGTTAATAGACTACTTATATATAATTGTTGATACTATTATTGTTGTTGTGATATTGTTGTTCTAGTATCTGGTGATCAAACCCAGTGCTTTGTGGGGGGCCACATAGGCATCCTAAAATACAGCTGGATCCCCAGGCCTAATGTGAGTAAGTACATAAGGGCACTGATTATAGCATTTAACTTTAAGCATTTAAGATATAACTTATCTATTTTTTTAGGCAGGCTGCCATAAAGAAGTCCAGGCTAGCCTGAGCTCACTCTGTAGCATAAGCTAGCTTTGATCTTGTGGCATCATGCTTTAGCCACCGCAGTGCCAGTATTACAAACCTAGGCCACCACACTTGGCTTTGTAATTTTAACAGACATAGGAAATCATGCCCCAACTCTGGAAACTTGGATTCTGCCCTGGCAGGAATGAATCTCAGCAACCTGCATTTTTAAGAGCCCTCTGGGTGACATGAATGAAAACCAGGGGGCTGCAGAAATACAACTTCACCACATAAATTGTTTAAGACGGAAATCTGGTCTTTTCAGTTATACAAACACCTTCCATGAATCTGTGTATGAAATGACAAATGCTTTTCTTTGCTAACACAAAGCAACCATAAAACGCACATCAAAGGAAAACAGACACAAAATAAAACAATGCTCTGTACCTCTTCAAAGTCATCTTTGGCTGAAGGAAGGTCAGTGGCTAAGCTAGAGTCCCCCAGGCTTTTCTCCATCCTTTCTCCATGTACCACTGTTGTTTTAACAACTTTGCTGACTCTACGGCCTTCTACTGGTTCAGCCTGAAACTGTGAGGTACTGGACAAAATGCTGGGTTCAGACAAGGTCACCTAATGAATGAAGGACACATAACAGACAATTCCCAATGGCCAAAATGGAACAAATAATGATATTTCTGTGAAATAAAATGGTTGTAATACTGGCTTCCTAAAAAAAAAAAAAAACAGTAATTAGGAACAAATCTCATCAATTGGTCTATTTGAGGGTATACTGCCAGAACACGAACAGTTAATGGGCTATTTGAATAAAATCTCACCAGTCACATTTCCTAAGGGCTGACAGGCACAATGTAGATTGGCAACCTAGGCTTGATCTCTTTCCCACAATTAAGTTTATTTCCTTTGCAACATGAAGATAAAGTCAACCCCTGAAGGGAGAGCTTGAAAAGCTATGAGAAATCAAAGTGGATAACTAGACAGCTTCGTGTCTATAATCATATGATTCTGAAGATATAAATAAACACAGAACAGTAAGAATTTCAAATTGTGTGTGTGGTGGTCTCAAGTCTTCAAACAGTGAGGTAAAATAGAAAGTAATAAATGGCCTAAATCAAAGCATTTCAGATCATAATTTAATTAACCCTGAAACTCAGAAGTTTGATTGTCAAGCATATATCGAAAGTGACTCTTGGAAGGCTGGTGTGCCAACAAGGCCCAATCACTGCAGTACATTTGGGTACCGTACTCTTCATAGCACATACCTTGCCAGAAAATAGATTTAAAATTTGGCTTTTGATTGCTACTGTAATCAACTAAGAATGAAATGCAACATAGAAATGAAGAAAAACAAAGACAATGAGTACAAGGACCACATAGAATGGAAATACAGTGGGAACTGACATGTTTTTTCCTGTTTTGTCTTTCTCTGCACAATGAACTCTGCAGAGCTGGGTGGCCTCACCTCTGATTGCTGGGTGTCACTCTTCAATACCACACGCTTTATCACTTTGGAATAACTGTCCCCATCCTCAATGTTGACTGGCTCCTGTGGCGTTCCCTGCATTGTAATCTCCTCCTTCTCCATGCCATCAGAGGATACGTACCGCCTAATGATTTTCCGGGTGACCTGAAACACATTTCATGTTGCTGCCTTATTTTTTGTGTTTCGGCACCCACACTAGTGACAGCATTTAAACAGGAAGCGTGAAAACAGCCCTGTACAGAGAGCCACTGGCAGGTACCTTCTTCACCACGGTGTGTCCATTCTCATCGACATATTCCTCTTCTGAGACAGTTTCTGGGGGTATGTCAGGCATATCATCTCCCTAAACAGTGGGGGAAAAGCATTACCTAAGTGTGTGGCACTGTCCTGAGGAACTACGTCCAAGTGCTTCTGATATGAGGAATGTTAGAAAACCAGAGGTCATGTTGCCAAGTATTGCCGAGATGCAAAATCCTGTCAGTTTGATTAATTTTAAAAAATGAAGCAGGTATATTAGCAAGAAAAAACAAAACATGCTTAGGAGAATCTCACCAAAGTTAGGGAAAATTTAATCAAACAACAAAAACAAATAAGCAAGAAGGGAGGCAGGTGCAACCCTAGAAGCCAAGCCTTCTGCGTGCTGGCTCATGGAGGAGGGCTGCAAACATCCTTGGCTCTCTGCATCCCCTAACAAATGAGAGAGGAAGAGGGGAGCTGCTTTCCATGCATGCACTACCTATGGATCATGCTCAGCCTCTGTTGTTCCAGATCTCTCTTAGTGAAGGACACAACTGTCCCGACGTGCAGTAACTTAACAGCGGGTACCTGGATAATCACTCTCCGGCGGACAACCCTGGTAGTTACCATGGCCTCCTCATCAGAGCTGGCCTCCAGCTCTCCTAATTCCTCTGTTAGCTCCTGGTGGAAGCATGCATGAATCGTTGTTTTTAATCTTATTTTAAATTTTAAAATGTAATCAAAAATTGTATTTGGTTTCCAAGACAGGGTTTCTCTGTGTATCAGCCCTGGCATTATCCTGGAGCTCACTTTATAGGCCAAGCTGGCGTCAAACTCCCAGAGATCTGCCTGCCTCTGCCTGGCAAGTGCTGGGGTTAAAGACGTGTGCCACCACCTCCGAGCTTCAAGAAAAACTTGTTTGAGATGGGATATTACTTGGTGGACCACCCTGGCTTGAACTTATAATCATTCTGTGCCAGACTCACGAGTGCCAGGTTTACAGATGTGTGTCACCACACTTGGCTGCATCATTTTGTTTAATTTGCTATTGAATAACTGTACTATTGGTTTCTTTATTTGTCTGTATCATATTCTGAAATTTTATGCAGGGAGATATTGATAGAAAATCATCAGGGAAAAAGTAAATGTGTGGTTATCTCAAGCCTCAACAAGCATGGAGTCTTATTGTTCCCAAAATCATAAAGAAATCCCGCAATCTGAGAGTGGTTGGAAAAGCCACTGTCAAAACTGGTCCCAAGAGATGTCTTTTCCCACATGAATTCTGTACTTAAGTTTAATAAAATCTGGGTGAAAGTACAGGACCTAAGTAGCACACTAAATACCTGTGACACATGGGCCAGTCTTGACTAGGCAAGGAATTCTAATCCCACACACAGAACAGCTCATATTTGTAGCAGAGCTTTCTCCAGTAAGTTAAATTTCCTGTAGCTATTAGTAAATAGTACATTTTCCTGCCATCAAAAATTGTAGGCTTTAAATAACATTGAACTCTTTTTTTTTAGAGAAGCTAAGAGAATACTTTCATTTATGGGTTTGACCAAAAGCCAAAGATGAGGCTAGGAACATAATTTTAGATTGAAAATGCCTTAAGAGTCATAAACAGAGACAGGCTTTCTTCACAGAACATGATTTCCTTCCTCCTCTCTCCTCCCCTCCTCTTACTTCCCCTCCTGTCTCCCCCTCCCTTCTTCCCTTCCAGGTTTTTTGACAAAAATCAAGCTATGTTGTATCTCACAGGTTTTAAACTTTTGATCCTTCTGCATCAGCCTTCAGAGTACTTGGATGACCGGTATAAATAAGCAAGAAGGGAGGCAGGTGCAACCCTAGAAGCCAAGCCTTCTGCGTGCTGGCTCACGGAGGAGGGCTGCAAACATCCTTGGCTCTCTGCATCCCCTAACAAATGAGAGAGGAAGAGGGGAGCTGCTTTCCATGCATGCACTACCTATGGATCATGCTCAGCCTCTGTTGTTCCAGATCTCTCTTAGTGAAGGACACAACTGTCCCGACGTGCAGTAACTTAACAGCGGGTACCTGGATAATCACTCTCCGGCGGACAACCCGACTTTTTTTTAAGGGAAAGAGTACACTCAAAAAACTTACTGTCTCAAAACACCCAAAGACAATCAGGAACCTACTGCTAGCAATATGGTCAGCAACAAAAATAACTACAATGACATGTTGGGGTTACTGTTGTAAGAAGTTAGGAGTTCACAAGTGAAGCATATGAGGGACGACTAGAAATGCATTGAGCTAAGAAGAGGCCGTAAAAACCCTAGGATGCTAGGCCAAGCTGGCGTCAAACTCCCAGAGATCTGCCTGCCTCTGCCTGGCAAGTGCTGGGGTTAAAGACGTGTGCCACCACCTCCGAGCTTCAAGAAAAACTTGTTTGAGATGGGATATTACTTGGTGGACCACCCTGGCTTGAACTTATAATCATTCTGTGCCAGACTCACGAGTGCCAGGTTTACAGATGTGTGTCACCACACTTGGCTGCATCATTTTGTTTAATTTGCTATTGAATAACTGTACTATTGGTTTCTTTATTTGTCTGTATCATATTCTGAAATTTTATGCAGGGAGATATTGATAGAAAATCATCAGGGAAAAAGTAAATGTGTGGTTATCTCAAGCCTCAACAAGCATGGAGTCTTATTGTTCCCAAAATCATAAAGAAATCCCGCAATCTGAGAGTGGTTGGAAAAGCCACTGTCAAAACTGGTCCCAAGAGATGTCTTTTCCCACATGAATTCTGTACTTAAGTTTAATAAAATCTGGGTGAAAGTACAGGACCTAAGTAGCACACTAAATACCTGTGACACATGGGCCAGTCTTGACTAGGCAAGGAATTCTAATCCCACACACAGAACAGCTCATATTTGTAGCAGAGCTTTCTCCAGTAAGTTAAATTTCCTGTAGCTATTAGTAAATAGTACATTTTCCTGCCATCAAAAATTGTAGGCTTTAAATAACATTGAACTCTTTTTTTTTAGAGAAGCTAAGAGAATACTTTCATTTATGGGTTTGACCAAAAGCCAAAGATGAGGCTAGGAACATAATTTTAGATTGAAAATGCCTTAAGAGTCATAAACAGAGACAGGCTTTCTTCACAGAACATGATTTCCTTCCTCCTCTCCCCTCTCCTCCCCTCCTCTTACTTCCCCTCCTGTCTCCCCCTCCCTTCTTCCCTTCCAGGTTTTTTGACAAAAATCAAGCTATGTTGTATGTCCTCCCTTGGGCCCTATGGGCATCTAAAGGAGGAAAGTGCCTAAGAGGAAGAAATCATTTCATGTCTCTTTCTTCTCATGTTCCAGTGACAAGAGAGCAAAACTCAGTGTCAACAGAGTACTGTGCTGTGAGCTCTTGACACACTAAGGTTGCTTCTCCTGAGCCACTTTCCTTTTCAGGATGGCCAGTGTCACTCAGGCAACTTTCTCCTTTACCTGCTAAAGTTCTGAGCTAAATGATTTTCTAGGGTTTCTTTCCAGCAGACAATGCCTCCTTATCCTTACTCTAACTCTGCTTTATCTCAAACTAATGGTGTTGTGTCCTGTTTGCATGATTTATACCATATTGATGTTTTGTTTGTTTTTTTGTGTGTTTGTTTTGTTTTTTCAAGACAGGGTTTCTCTGTATAGCTTTGGAGACTATCCTGGCACTGGCTCTGGAGACCAGGCTGGCCTCGAACTCACAGAGATCCGCCTGCCTCTGCCTCCCTATGCCTCCCGAGTGCTGGGATTAAAGGCGTGTGCCACCAACCCCAGGTCATACTGATGTTTTTATACTTAGATGCTACATAGCTTTGCTGAAGTACTAATGGGCTGCCATTCCTACACCATCACTGCTCAAACCCCAAGGCAGCCATGGCACTAAGTGGGCACATTCCAATGAGATACAACAATCCTACAAGTAGTGACTGTGGTTTGCAAGGAGTACACCCAAAGGTGATTCACAGGCTTATCAGTGGCCCTTGACCCTGGTAACTGATAACTAGATTTGGAAATGGAGACTTGGAGAACTTTGGGATTGTTCAAGGTTACAGAATTGGAAGTCGGCTCAGGTAGGACAGTACCACACAACATGATCACAATTATGTATCTTGACTGTTTCAGCTCTTCTACAGCCTCTGCCCCTTCTGCCCCTGGTGTTGTTATACTGGAACAGAAAAGTCAATTTGCCACTCAAGAACACTTCCTGCCACAGAAGTTTTTCTTTGGAGTTGTATTTAATATACTTTCTTCTGAAACTCACTAGTATTCCTGCTGGTCTTGCATTTTCCCTGAGAAATCCTGTTGAGCTGGCTCCGGGTGCATTTGGGGAGAAAGTGTTGCGGCTGGGCTGTCTCCCTCAGTTTTGGGGATACAATCTTGAAATGTGGAATAACCAACAGAAATGTCTTCTTCAGAGACCATGGGTGGGTGATCGCTGGACTCGCTTTCTTTGGAAGCTGCTTGCTCCTCTTTCTGCTTATGCCGGGCAACACAGAGCTCCTCTTGAAGTACTGAAAATCCTGCAGGGAAGAGTAATTGAAAGTATTGTGGAATCTCACTTACACTAGGTGTTGTAATTTAAAAAAAAGGCAGCTCAAGAGAAAGCGATGCCCTGAGACAGAGCTCATGTGGAGGGTTTTTTTTAATTAGGGGAAAGGAAATGGGACCAGCCTCTGGGGACAGACAGGAGCATCAGAAGAGAATGGGGGGCAGAGACAGGCAGAGAAGCAGAGAGAGAAGATATATCAGAAGGAAAAAGGAACTGGAGGAGCCACCCATGGTAGGAAAGATTGAACAGAGGGGGTACCAAATGGAATCTGAGGTGTTGATGGGGAATGTGCTTCTGTGTATATGTTTCTCTTATTGGTTGATGAATAGGGAAGCAAGATAGGTGGGACTAGGAGTGGAGGAGGATTCTGGGAAATATAGTAAAGAGACGACCATGTGATCCAGGCAGGAAGTGATGTAGCAGGCAGAATCAGAATATAAGCAGGGACAAGCAGGAAATTGCTCTCTCTCTTCTCTTCTCTGTGGAGACACTGAGCAGATATGATGCAGACCCCAACAGAGTAAGAGGCCCAGACCTTATCTCCGGTAAGACAAGGCCACAAGGAAATACACAGATTAGTAATTATGGGTTAAGAATAAGAAACCCAAGTTGCCAGCCAACAGCTTATAACTAATATAGCATCTGTGTGTTTCCTTTGGGGCAAAGAAGGGCAGTGGGACCTAGCCAGCCAAGAGAAAACTTCACATTACAAGGTGGCATGGAAGTAAATACATCATCACCAAAAGCTATGGTCTGTTGTAAAAAAAAAAAAAAATGGAGGCAGTAGGTCCATCTCCTGAATTATCCCCTACTCCTAAGAGACACCACTTTACCTTCACTGTTGTCCAGTACAATGGTCTGCTCCATTTCCGCATAGCTGTGGCCCATGCGCTCCTGCAGGGGTTCTGTGTTGGTCTCCAGGAGATGTACAATATCCATCCTGTTAATCTTGGTGAGGCATTCAATGAGGATGGTATCTGAGACATTAGAGAAAAGGCATTCTTTGCATATGAGGGGTACTCTTTTTAGGAACTCTTTCATTCAGTTGCCTTACTAAGTTCTTGGTATTTACAGCAGAGCCTAGCAAACTCCAACTAGGTCCTTTGTAAATAGAGGCAAATAGCAGAGAATAGACCCCACATACTACAAACCCTGAAGGCAGAGTTGCTAGATAAGACACAGGGCACAGCCCCATCTGGATTCTAGGTAAAAACAAAGACTTTAACTGTATCTCAAACACTGTATATTTATATTATATTTATATTAAATATATTTTTTAAATATTTATATTAAAAGATATTTGATTGTTTTTAAGTTAAATTGAATACCCTTCTGTTTTTATTGGCTAAACCTGCCAATGCTGCTAAAAAGGATGTGGGGAAAAAAGAAACAGCAGGAGATATTAAGGCAGATCTTCACAGAGACATGAAAGGATGGGCTGAAGCTGGGTGGCAGCCAAGTTCTATCTCATTTCCCATTTAATTCCACAGGGTCATAATCATATCAGTCATCACATACAGTATCTACTTGATTCTCCTCCCCCATATATCTAAATTTCTAGAGAGGAATGGAAACATGAACTGCAGGCAGTACACTCCCCATAAATAATTGTAACCGTACAACTGTGCCCGTTAACTAATACTTAGAAACTGTTAGGTCTCAGTGAACCTTCCACAGTGGCTGGTGCTCATATCATTGCCACTGTTCACAAACATATCATGCAAGATTTCTCATGGAACAAGATTCTAAAAAAAATTTAGAAAGATAATAACAGCTTGTTCTCCTTCACTGACAGTGGTTGTTAAAATTGATGACTTTTGACAATTTATCTTACTGATTCTGTAAGAACGGGATCGTTGGGGGATCCACTTCCACCTTTGTCTAAAACCTCCACCTTAGCATTTTCCCAATTACCTGTGGCATGCTTCCCATCCCTCTCCAACCAGTACTTCAGCAGTGCATGGCTCTGGTCTTGAAGGGAGTTGGGGTTCTCAATTCGAATTTGGTGAATTTGCTCCTCAGTGAAATCCAGTTCTCTTGCTAATTCTAAAATAATAACAACAAAATGCTACGTTGTCAATACATTGACTTCATGTTTGAGTCTCTACACCTTGTTCCATGATGTGTAAGTGATATGGTCTTGTGCTGCTTTGAGCATTTAGGTTAGAAGTGACTCACACACACCTTTGACATATTAAAACTAACAACCTCTCCCTATTAAAATTGGATATAGAATTAATTACTGCCATTGTAGAAATAGTGAAGGTGAAGGAGTGATGGTGAAATGTAAATGGAGATCAGACCATTATTACTTGTTTATATTTTTAATCAGGAAAATGAAAAATAAGTGACTGAACAGGAGAAGTGAAGCATTTCTCACTTTTATAGGTTTTTAACTTTAACAAATCCTGTTTCTGGAAATGTGTACAAACATTTGTTGTAGCTAATTTACAGTGATCGGGTATGCTCCTTTCTTTGATGTATATGAAGGAAAGGTCTGTGGAAACTGGTGTAGAGTAGAAGTCAAAAAGATTTCTTTAAAAGATGGGAATAGTGGTACATACCTTGAATCCCAGGACTGAGGAGGCAGAGGCAGGTGGATCTCTGTAAGTTTGAGGCAAGTCTGGTCTACATACTGAGTTCCAGGATAGCTAGAGCTACATAGAGAAATCCTCTCTCAAATGTACCTCCTATAAAAAGTTTGTTTATTTTACTATAAACATTCTATATGAATACTTGATGCTTGTGCATACTATAGGTATACATTTGTGTGCAAAAGCAATGACTTCTAATGTCTACCTGGTATCTTTCAATATTAAAAATAACCCTTGATCCAGTAATTCTATTTTAGAAATGTATTTCCTTTTCCTTTATTTTCATTCTGTTATGTTATAAGGTTTAAAATTTTGCCACCTTTATACTTAACACACTTAGTATGTGTGGATTCTACATATTCAAGGAAAAAATACATATCTAAAATGCCAACCAGAGATATTTTGGTATCATTCTCTTCTCTGAATCCTTATATCAGGTATTTCAACATTATTCTAAAATTACCAAAAGTGAGAAAATGGCTATTCCTACAGCTTCTAGTCATTTATTCAAAATTATGAATCATCTTTGAGGATAGGCTCTTATTTCCTTCTAAATTTTCAAGAAACTGATAGAAAAGTAGTAACTTTGCAATTTTTTTTTCTCAGCAAAGCACATCCAAGTGATACTTAAGAAACCAAATCAGAGTCAAAAATAATGAAAACGAAAGTAAGCTAGGCTATAATATTGCCTAATATTAAGTCACAGGTAGATGAAAATTTATTTTAAATTTATAAACCATGATTTGTAAATAGCAGTATGGATATTAGAATTCACTTCCTCTTAATAAATTACCAAGCGTCCCTACCTCAAAAAAATGGTGCAACATATGTGTTTTAACATTCACCCAGAGCACATGTTAATACTATTTACTATGAAGACACCTAACATCAAACATCAAAAACAAGCAGCACTGATAAAAATCTCAAATGTTATGAAAAATTGCCAGGCATAGTAACTCACACCTGTATTTACAGCACTGGAGCAGGTGGAATACCATGACTTTAGGACAGCTTAAGGTATATTGTGAATTCCAAATGGACCCCTGGGCTATAGATTAAGAACCTGTCTAAGAAAAACAAAAACAAAGATTATAAAAATTGAATCTAAAATTGTGTGAAACCTGGGTATTTTCCCATAGCTTAGCTAACTATAACTAGTAGAAGAGGATGGGTAAATGGGTTTATTCTCAAAGTCTTCAACTCCAAAGTTCTAAATTCCAAAACTGTTAAGAACCTTATACTCAGGCCACACAATTAGCTACTGTGGTTGGATTTTTCAACTTGTAGATTTTTCCTCACACTATTCTTTATAGTCTTCCACAAGAAAAATTAAGAGAAACAATCTTTAACAGACTGTTTCTGTAGAGAAACTGGATCACACCAATTACCTGTCCAACTGAAGCCAAGATGATCAGCAATGTAAGCCAGCCTTTCTTCAATCCGTTCCTGTTCATCTTGGGGATCTACAGAAGGTCAAAAACAGAATGGACAAAGAGTATCTGGGACAACAAGGGAGCCACAGTACTAATCATCCAAGAAAGGAAGTCACTTGACCAAGTCTCTGATAGCTCTCATGGTTCAGGTTGTATGGAAAGGTGTGTTTTCTGATTTCTGGGGTAGAATGGGGAATGAATCCCATGTGGTGACTTGTGGAAACCGTCTCCTTCCTTATCTCTTTAATGAGGACTAATAACTGAACAGAACGTCCAGTTATTTCAGGGCTTCCCTTTTACACTTTTGAAAACACGGCCCACCAGAGCATACTCATTTTGCAAATGAAACACCAGAAAAATGGCCAATGGATTATAGAAGCGGAGTAAGTGGTTGGGCTCTACCACTAATGCCTGAGGAGGTGTCAATCACCATCAGGTCCTGGATGAAAGAAAGCACTAAGAATTATCTTAGTCATGGTTAGACTGACCAGCCTGGCCAGGAACAACACTGTCCTAATGACCTTGGTAGAAGACAAGATAAAGGCATTTGAACTTTGTATGTTCTGCTGCTATGATATTTGCTTCTGAGGCAAAGTTTCTGGCTGTCTCTTCCTATGTAAAGTTTTCACTACCACAAACTAGAATTCATCCTCTTCCCTTTTAATGACCATGGATTAATGGGCAGCAGCAGGAAATTCTGTCACCCACATTTAGGAGTTAGTCTTCATTTGGAGATAGTGGAAGCCTGCAGGTTACCTCTCAAAGCCACCCATGGTTTCCTTTTTTTTTTTTTTTTTTTTTTTTCAATTCCAAGAGCCATCATTCCCTCACATCATGCAATGTTTGAGATTTTGTTGTCTGCTGAATCTCATCTGAACACATTCACAATCCATCTGCTTCACAACTCAAAAGTGGATTTTTACCTCACGTTTGTTTGCTTAATTTGGTTATCATGGTATCTGAAAGCCAACCTCTCTGAATTGGAAAACAGACCCATAGTAATTTCAGGATGTGAGCAATCATTTTGAGTAAAGGGCTTTTTAATCCTGACAAAATTGAATGCACCAATTATTTAATGAACACAAAGAAAAGAGTTGAGAGCACTGAGTCCTTGTGCTAAGAAACTCACATGCTCATGTGCAAAACCAAAAGTTTTTAACTTGAGGCTAAGCCTGGGACTTCAGAACAACAAAACCCAAAGCTTGTATGGCTTTACGTGCAGCAACTAAAGAAAAGCAAGGTCCCCCGTTGCTTGGTTATGTTTATGTTTTTGATAAGCATTCTCATTACTCAATCTTGAGATTGTTTCATAGACAAGAGTATACAGAAAAAGCACAAAACACAAAGGGCTTACACAAACACATTAACCACTACAGAAAGCTTAAAGGAAATGAGACACAAATCACAAAATAAAAGAAACATTACCAAAAAAAATCTCTATCAAATTTATGACATGCGTAGCACAGGGAATCCCAGTGGCTGGCAAATACCTTCAGCTCGGTCATGGCCATTTTCATCAGGGATGCGTTCAATCATAGTCTCAATGGACTCATCCCAAATGGGCCTTGTGTCAAAGATGTCCTCAGGAACTGAATTCTCAGTCTCAACAGGTGGCAGATTCTCAATGACTGACACTTCCAGGGCACTACTACTTTCATCATCTGAAGGTGGCTCCTGCTCCCTTTCTGACTGTGTGAGCCTGTCCACTAATTTGGACGCCTCATCACTAATTTCCTCAAAGAATTCTATGGAATTTCTATAAAGGTCAAAGAAGTGCTCCCTACTCTCTTTTGTGGGGCTCATGCCTGTCCTGCTGGAAGATGGAGTGCTTCTGCTCTTAACTGGTAATCGGGATGCAAATAGCTTTGGTTTTGTGGCCCCTTCTTCTGATTCTGACTCAAACCCTTCTGCTCTCTCCCTGCTCTCTGTTTCTGTCTCAATGTAACTTCTGGCTTTTACTGGGCATTTGGTCTTAGCATCCAAAGGATTAGCATCTGATTCAGATTTGCTTCTACCATCTGGTGCTCTGCTTAGCATGTCCTGTCCCTGGGGAACAGCTGTCTTCTGGAGAGATGTGTCTGGATAGGAGAGCTGCCACTCAGTTCTTTGGGTGGGTGCTTTGATGGGGATTTTGGACTTTGGTTTTGCTTCATCCTCCTTACTTTCCTCATCCATGCCAGATGGGAAATCATCAGAAAATGCACTCTCATCCTCTGTAGATGAAGGGACTGGGACTGAAGTGGAGAGTGTCCTTAGAGAAATTTGAGGTTTGCTTTCAGCAGAAGGCACATTTTCCATGGGTGCAGTAGGGATCTCAATCACAGATTTCTGTTCCTCTGGGGAAGAATCTGGGGACTCGTCATCCCTATCTGAATGAACAGACCTAGTGACTGTGGAAAAGTCCAATTGAACAATAGGTTGGGGGAAGGCAGGGCAAGGTGTCTGCTTCACAGTGCTCAGAGAAGATGTATCACTCAGTTGCATGGTGGGGAGGTCCTGAGCTTCTGTGGATACAGCCTCTTTTGTGGGCATTTCAGTGGAAGCTGAAATCATCACTTGGGAGTCAAGGTTAGTATCTGAGGCAGGTAATTCCTCAGTTTCCTCACTCACATCATCAGGAAGTAATTCTCCCTCATCGTCTACTTCTTCTTTGGATTCTGAAAGTTCCAGTGACTCACTTGTGTTTTCCGGCTGTGTCGGCTCAGCCCCCATGGTCCCTTCCTTCAAGTCTTCAGGGATAGTCTCTTCATTGGATTCTTGACCAATTTGGAAAAAGTGCAAATTTTCATCTGTATAGGACCTTTTGGTCATATCAATAGCACCACTTCTGGTCATCTCAAACAATTTTCCTTCCTGGAAGAGGAATGGATTTTGTTCACTTGTTGGGGTTCCCTCTTCAGTTGGGGTCCTAGCAGGAGTAGTATCGGGAGTAGTACCCTGTGATTGTCTGTCTACCATCAAACCAAATATTTTCTGTTCTTCCTCTTTCACTCTAGCTTCAAAGGCTTCATCATCTTCACGAATTTCACTCCAGGAGTCAGAATCCACATCGGTTTTCGTGATGATGACTTTGCTCACTTGCTCACCAATGACTGCTGGTGCATTTGGTGTAGCAGATGCTACAGATGTGGAAGGCACATCTGACTGCATTCCCCACAAGCTGGTTTTTTCCTCGGATTCAGTTTTTAGACCCTGGGTTTCAAATTTTGATTCTTGGCTTGAGACAGCTCTACCAGAGGAGTTTGTCTTTACAACATCCTCAGAAGAGGATCTGATGACAACAGAGAACACTTCAGGTGGACAAACAACTGTGGTGTGACATGTGTCTGTTTGGATTCTGCTGTCCTCACCAGAGAAAAATGATGAGGAAGGAACATTTTCATAAGGGCTGGTTATTTGAGGATCAGAATTTTCATCAGTCTCAGCTAAATCAGACACCAGAGTGTCTGTATCAACCCTATCTGTTTGAGTTGTAGAAGATGAGTCTTGAGTGGGACAGTCCTTCGGCATGCTTCCCAGAGTCTGATCAGTTACTGTGACGTCTACTTTTTCAGTGGAAGATGGGGAGGGTACTTCTTTCACTGATTCCTTTCTTTCAGATACTGCACAATGAGATGAAGAAGACAGGGAAGAGCTTCCACCGGGGAAATCTGCCTGTGTAGATTCCACTCCAGAAGGATCAAGCTCTCTCCCTTTTTCCCAAGTATCCTGGAGAGCCAGTGACTCTTTATCAATGGCAAGCTGTTCATCAACATCAATACATGCTGGACTCTGAACTCCTAGGGAGACAAGGGTGGCTGACTTGCTAGGACTCACAACTTCACAACCATGGCCATCACAGGTTTCCGACCGATGAGTCTCTCTGTTCAGATCATCATAAGACCTATCAACACCATCAGCAGAAGGAGTCCGACAGCCTTCAGCTAAAGGAGATTGGCAATCTTTGTCTTCTTCTGACTTACCCGGCTCCTCTTGAATATCTTCGTTCATCTTGAAAGTGTATTGTTTGGAAACTATAGGCTGGAACTGTGATTCTTCAGGGCTGGAATTAGAGTCTATGCTGGATGGGAGGGGAGATGGAGGTTGAACTCGAATAACTGGTTCCATCAGAAGCCCTGAGTCGGCACCTTTACTCAGCTGTGTCAGCTCAGGCTCACTTTCAGAGGAGGAAGAAGCTTTTCTGCTCTCCGAAGTCACCAAGACTGGGACCTCAGTCTCCCCTTCCATGGTCTCCACTGGCTTTTGTTCATCCACTTCTACCGAACAGTCAGCATCGGGGTCTGAGGCTGAAGAGGAGCCATCTTGTCTGGGTTCTTTTCTGTAGTCTCTTTTCTGCTTTGCTTCTTGCTCGAGTTCATCAAATGTTTTAATTTTGGTTACCATCTTGAACATTTCCTCTTCTGGGGTGAACCTCTTTTTCTCCCCATTTTCAGAGTCCTCCTCCTCTGCACACTCATGAATCACAGCTGGCTTGGGTAAACTTGAATCTGAAGCCTTGGGTGTGACCTCATAGCTAACTTCTTCTGAACTGGGAGTGTCAGGGGAGAGGGGGCTTTTCCCTGAGCTCTCCATGAGTGAAGTCTGTTCAAGACTGTCGTCCTCGGCACTGCCATCAGGGTCTCGGAGCAGCCGAGAACGCATGGAAGCCACTTCAGCAACAAGATCTGTTTTGGCAATAGCTGCAGGGAGAGGAAAGTGACTTGGGAGAATTCCTGCCTTCATTTTGGGCTCAACTGGGCTGCTTTCAAGGGAGTCCCTGCAAGGGGATTCTTTCAGAGGACTTGGTTCCAGAGAATCGGGAGTTTTGTGTGAGGAGTTATCTTCCAACACAGGGCTAGCTTCTAGAGAGTCTTTGTGGCTTACTGCTAATGATTCATCGGCCACTGGGCTGAGGGTCTCACTATCCCGGCTAGGGAGTGGAAGTTCTAACCCTTGGGGGCTTCTAATAGCTCCCTGGGGCTTTGGTTCTGTTCCCTCACCTGCCTTCCCAGAAGCATCAGATGATGAGAAGGCCTTTCCCACCTCGGAGGGAGTGGTGGATTCCTGAGTTTCACTTTTTGCTTGTGTTTTACAAGCTGAACCTACAATTGGGAGCTGACTTTCGTCACAGGACCCTTTCTCAGTAAAGACTTGGCATGTTTCATCTGCCAACGATACACTGTGCCTGCTAGGGCAACCATCTAGTTTGGAGGATACATCTTGGGAAGGGTCTTGGGTGACCTCCTTCTGACAATGCTCAGTAGAGGTCTCTGAACCCCCAGTGACCACAGCACCTTGTGTTCCAGAACTATCAGTAATGTCTTTAGTTAAAGGAAGCTCTTTTTCTGAATGAATTTCTGTGGGCATTTCTACCTTAGTTTCCTTGATCTCTCCAATTTGTTCCTCACTTTTCTTCGGTGAGAAAGAAAGACTCTCTGGACTTGTCTCGGGAGTTTCTGCTAGGCCCTCATGCTTATAGCTCTCTTCTGAACTGACCTGAGGAGTACCTTCCATCAGGCTGCCACAAGGCGAGCCTGCTATCACTTCCTGTTTCAGGCTTTCCAAACTGCCAGCCAAAGCACCACTCTGTAAAGACAGAGCTGGAAGAAACTCGTCTTTCATGTAATCTAGAGGGAACGTTGTGTTGAAAGGACTTGTGATTACTTGGTCTAAGTGTATCTGAGCCTTTTCTGTTTCCTCAGTGAGGCGGAACTGCTGATATTTATCATTGTCTTCTAACTCTTGCTTGATGACATCAGAGAAGTCAGTGGAGGTCTTCCTGTCTGGGCTGATCTGAAGATCCATGTCTCCTTGCTCATCCATCATCTTGTCTTGAAGGATCTCACTGCCCCGAGGGCTTTCTTCTGCCACCACTGATGGAACTGGCTCAGGTGTTTTAATAATGGGAGCTCTCTCAAACTTTTCTCTAACTGGATCTTCTGTCCTGAGCCCAACAGTGATGGTAGTAGAACGGAACCTTCTGGATTCTGTAGGTGCCGTCACTGGAAATCTCTGGCCACGCTTGATTGTCTGGCTTTCTGTTCTCTGAGACTCTCTCTGGGTTACTGTGTGCCCCTTTTCTTTTTCTGCTCGGGTTTTACTTTTGTCTTGTGATTGCTTTTGCTTTGTTGATTTGTGCTCAAAGAGTCCTGTTTTGTGTTTAGACGGGTCCTGACCTGACTGGAATGCTTTCATCAACTCCCGGACAGACATTGTCTCCTCAATTCGTTCTGTTTTGGAGGTGGGAGATACAGGTGGCTGCTTTTCTGTCTTCCCAGGTGACACAGGAAGGTGCTTATCATTTTTCCCAGACTGCTTCTCTGAGGTTCTTGCAGAAGGTGAAACTGGCAAGCGTTTTTCTGTTCTCCCAGGTGACACTGGAGGGTGTTTCTCTGTTCTTCCAGATGATGGTACTGGAGGACGTTTGTCTGTTTTTCCTGAAGGTGACACAGGTGTATGTCGTTCTGTTTTTACAGATGACACAGGGGAATGTCTTTCATTTTTTGTTGAGGGGGATCCAGGTGAATGTTTCTCAGGTTTACTTGACGATACTGGTGAGTGTCGTTCATTTTTTGGCGAGGGTGACACAGGTGAGTGTTTCTCTGTTTTGCTTGATGGTGACACTGGCGTGTGTCTTTCAGTTTTTGCAGAGGAAGAAAAAGAAGAGTGCTTTTCTGTTTTAGAAGAAGGAGATGACTTTGAAGAGGGTGACACAGCTGGGTGTGTCCTGGGCGTGGTCTTTTTGGGCACATCCTCTTTGCCTTTGACTCTGACCGGCAGCTTGCTTCGACCTTTCTGCTCATCTTCTACTTTTTTCTGAAGAGCCTTTACTTTGTCCTTTATGGAACCAATAGGAGTTTCTTCTATCAGAGGAGAGGTGGCCTTGGCAGTGGGAAGGGGCTCGGGTGCCAGGCCTCGGTCTTCATCTACCGACTCCTCTGAACTACCTTTCCTAAGTTCGGTTGTTTCTTCACTGCCTTGGGAACCTTCCTCTTTTTGTTTCTGCTTTTCTTTTAGTTTCCTCCTCACTGGCTTCTTTATCACCAGGCTTGGTTTTGGCTGCTTCTGGGCACTTTGTTTCTCCTCTGCTGGCACAGTCTTCCCTTTATTATTCTCAGAGGTCTTGGCAACACCTGAAGCCTGACTTGTCTCCCCTGTCTTTTCCTGAGCTGTCTGTGGCTTCTTTTCATGAGAAGAAGTATATGAATTTAGGTCTTCTGTTAGGTAGGTCACTAACCCAGTGGAGTCCTTCTCTGATTTGACCTTGGACCCTCTGTCTACTCTGACTTCTATGCATGGCTGTTCAGTGATTTCTGCAGGCGCATGTTGCTTGGCCTCTTGGATTTCCTCATCACTGACAATGACCCATTCCTCTTCTAGCTCCCGCTCAGACTGAGAAGTCTGTACTCTGCCTTCTTCTCTAACACAGGCCCCACTTCTCAGGATTGCGTCCACTTTCTCTAAGTCCTCCTTAACCCTTTCAACAATTTCGAATGGTTCGCCTGGCTCTTCTTCAGCAGCCTTTGCCAGCTCCTTCACCTTGATAGAACCTGCCTTATCGGACACATCTGTGGTCAAGATGGCCGTCATTTTGATCAAATCTTGTTTCATCTCAGAAACTTCAGAGAGCAAGTCCGGACTTGCTAAGACAGGAACTTCATTAACCAGGTGGCTTTTCAGGACAGATGTTTCTGTTGACTCTGTCTCATCATCTTTGATGTGAATGAAAAACATTGAAAGTAAAATGGAAATCAAAAAAGATATCGGCAAATGTAATCAGGACCAAAACAACACAGCGTCTTTTCCTGGTGGTGGAAGGGGCAACAGAATGGGCTGGGAATGGTGAATCCACAAGGTCTCAAGGAACAAGAGCAAAGCAAGGCTAACAGAAAAAAATAACTGAAAAGGAAAATGAGCAGGAAATAACTTGCTTAATTTTCTCAATTGTAGCACATTCATACATACAACAAAGCTATCACAAATACTCAAGACATACATAAAAAAGTCACAAATCAAAAAGAAGAGAGCAGTGAAATTACACAGAGGTATCTCAAGATTGTCCAGATATTACAGATCAATGTCAGAAAATAAAACAAAACAAGAAACCATGGGGAAAAAATAAAAAAAGCATTAGAAATTGCAGAAACTTGATTTCCTCCCTGAGAAAGCCAGTAGGAGCAAATTCAGAATTGCACCCAACTATGTCCATACATTGTAAATCCCACAGGTCTGGAATTTGATCAGCATAGTCCTGCCACCATACAGCAATGGCAGAATACACATCTGAATCAGCAGCAGACTGGCATTTCATCAAAGAGAAATCCACACCTAACGATGACACACATCTCGTGCTGAGAGGCATGGCCCTTTCCTTGGAGGAACCTCCTTGTTTAGAGATGTAACAGACAGAACAAGGAGGAGGATAAAGGAAAGGAACAAATGACAGAAACAACAGTTGTGACTGAACATATATGTGAGTTCAGAGTTAAAATGTGATGCGTGGCAACCCAAATTAGAGACAGTCACACAGGACACACACACAGTTGATGTAAGCCAAGTTATTTCCATGCAAAGCAAAGGTGGAATAAAACTGCTGGGCAGGGGACAGCCTTGCAGGAAAGTGCAGGCAGGAGGGTGGTGAGAAATTAGAACAAAAATGTAAAACGTTACTGTGGTGAAGCATATTTAGCTCCCTAACGATCCATGCATAAGGTGGCCTGTGCAGGTTCTTTTAATTAATACAAATGCAAGAAACCCTCAGGGTTGGCTTATATAAAGACTTGAGTAAAGAGAGAGTCCTTCTTTGGAGGTTATTTTGTCACTATATGAAAATCATGTAAGGGTTATCTTTAAACAGAAACAAACATAAATCTGCATTTAAAATCTGGGAGACATTTAAAGTTTCTAGGTGTCATTCAAGAGAATCATGGCATTATAGCAACATGGGAACTTTACTGCCTTTTTAACTGGCCTAGACCAATAATTTCAATTCCTAATAGTTTATATATAGGAGTAAAGGAAGGAACCATTTAAGTCAATACAATAATCCTAAAGAAGAAAGAGAAAGAGGAAATAAAAACACTTAAAAATCAGTGAAGGTAGCACTAATATGTGTCATAAACAAAGGTGCCTTCTCTGGAGAGAATTTGTATTTGTTCAGAGGCAAGCACATGTGAATATATAAAATATATTAAGATCAATTTATGGTAATGTTGATTTTTTAGTTATATAAACTATTGAAGACATCAGAATCTCAGATAGTTTCATCCTGAATGAAGAAGAACATGACGATAAACCTCAGTTAAAGCCATTTCAATAGGACAATAGTAAATTATAGTGAGCTAAGACTTCAGACAAACAGGCCCTAGTTGGTGGCTGTTTTGTGAGGCTTAGGCGGTATGGCCTTGCTGGAGTGTCACCAGGGTTGGGCAGGCTTTGGGGCTTCTGGAGTATTCATTCTGCCTGTTGTGGTTTCCAGATTCCAACAGCCTGCCACCTACTACCTCTGCTCTGCCATCAAGGAATCTAACCCTTAGGGACTGTAAGCCCAAAATAAAACTCTTTCTTCAGTGAGTTGCTTTGGTCATGGTGTTTATATCACAGACACAGAAAAGTAACAAATACAATTAGCTAGGGCTAAATGACCTTGACATGTGCCTCTGTGTTCTTTCCGAATTGTTACGCTGGGATATGGTGAATCAAAACAAATCTTAATACTTAATAAAATTAAAAATTAGAATATTTTCTCAGGTGGTTTAATGCTTAAGGTAGAGAAAAAGCTATAAAATTCAACTTGGGTTCCTATACAAGATGAGACAGTTACAAGAGACTAGACTAACGAGATGAAATGTTAATAGACTATCACAAACCTCAGGTGAATTTAGGGCTGGTTACTGCACTAGATTTTGTTGGGATTTTGAGTTGTTATTTAAACATAGCCACACAAGGACACATTGTGAACGGTAATTGGATCCAGTATACTTTAATTTTTCCATTCTTTTCTTTTTTCTTCTTTTCTTTCCTTGGAAATGTTCACAAAATTCTGTTAGATCTCACCTAAAGATTTAGGTACACTTCACCACAGTAAGAGTGCAAGGATGGTAGAGTATGGGGGGAGGGGTGCATGAGCTTCAGCTAAGAACTATGAGACAGTATCGCTTTTGTAGGCATCCTTCCAAAGGCAAGGCTCACTACAGAGGTCACTGTAGCTTTATGTAAAAAGTAATACTGTCATGTCAGTGCTTAAAAAGAAAAGAATGAGGTAACAATGTTATGCTAACAAATGGACAAAACGATAGAGTAGCTTTGTAAACAAGCTTTACAGCAATGCCAGGGGTTACAGGGATGTCAAAAGAAAGTGAATGCTTAGATGAATAATCATTGCATTTATTGCTAATTAGCTCACAAATTAGGTATATTTATGATTTAACTGGCCAAGCTGCTTTTATAAGTATATATTAATGATTAATAAGAATTACATAAAATTACAATTATTATGGTAGTTAGTAATAGCAACTAGCTTGCATCTTAATTCATGCTTCTTTTCATTATAGCCATCTTTCAAACAAACTCAATTTTATTTAAAAATCTTACTTTTTTCTGATGTCATACCGATCTGAAAGAAAACATACACAAATACAATGGTTACACACAGCTCTTGGCTCAAAGTCCTTTATGTCCTTTATCCTATTTGTAATATGAACATAGGAGTATAATAAGCTAGAGGAAAGTCAGAGGCATTAGCTACAGTTCCTGTATGTAGAAGCAAACATATATTCACACATCATTGCTAGATACTGCAGGAAGAATATGTTAATCTTGGGAAGACATGACCCCACTGTGTTTGATGTAAGAATTGCGTATTAGGGAAAAGGTCATGAAAAAGTTGAAGTCAGTCTTCAGCAGTAGTTTCCCATTTAATGAGGGGAAAAAAATGGCAAAGTTTTGCTGGGTGATAAATTCTACCAAAGTCATTTCGTGACAACAGTGAGCCACTGTTCCAAAGCTTTTCTCATATTCCTTTTAGGAAGAACAGAAACTTCCTGAGGGTATTTCACAGGAAACACTGTTTATCTAATGGAAATGGTTCAGCTGTGAACACAGCAAAGTTGGTTTCATCACTTGTATGCTCTTTTGGGGTGTAGGTGCCACATTTTGAGAGGCAGGGTGATAGAATCACTGAGCACAGAAGTGTGTGACAGTGACACACACAGGGAGAAGACCAGTCACACATCTGCTGGTGTGTGTGACTGCCATTCCACATCTGTTGTGTAGCTTCCCATGGCATAAGCAATCCCCTAAACTAAGGCCATGCATTGTAAGTTGGTAAGTACCGAACATTTATTGTGTTTTTCTTTGTATTTTTACATTTCAGATGCATTGGCATAACTTTTAAAAATGGTATATTAAAAACATGCACTGATGATAATTAGTTTGGAAACAGTTGAGCACAAGAAGGAAACAGGAGTTGCTATATTAATGAGTAAATGTAAGGAATTTTCCAATGATTTCTTTCATTTCTGTTTCAGTGCCTAGTTTCAGACCTTTAGAAAGAAGACAATTTACTTTAAAAATTGAAGTGTGTATCACTCAGATATCTATTTTTTTAAGGTACCCTCTTTAGAACTTATTTTCTATATTTGTATGTAACTTGACACAGAAGTCAGGTGAGATAAACCCATGCTGATGAGGTATGTGGAACACTGAGTTTTGCAAATATACTTTATGAGGAAATGTTTGCTATTAGTATATGTTTATATTATAATCTTGGAGTCTAGTGAATGTACTATGTGTTTCTGAACATTAGTTAGTCTTAGTAATTCTCAGACTTGGTGTTAGGACCACAGTATACATCTAAAGTTACTTTCATTAATAAGCTACACATAAACAAATCTGCATACTGCAGTTAAGAGCTGAGAAGATTCAAGAACACCACAATTACACTAACACACTACCTAGTAATTGCCAGAGTGCTGAAGTCATCACAGTCCCACCTCAGAAAGCCTTGCTGCTAGTGAGGCTATGAGACCTAAAAAGTAAACTGCTGTATCTGATCACTGTTACCTTCAGACAACTTCAGTCTAGCCTTTGAGTGTCATTGAGACATGGCCTGGCCTTTAGGAGTTGGTAGAGAAATATATACTATTACATAGAGGGCTACAGTAAATAAAGAAACTTTGCAGTTTTCTGAATGTCATTCACAAGATGGAGAAAAATGTAAGAGAGGGGGGATTGACTAAAATTCTGTTCATCAAATTGCTAAGGACAGTTGCCTACTTTCTAAGAATCAGAGGCCAACCATATGCTCTTATTGGTGGCTCCAACAATGATATAGCCAGGAACAAGTGACTCTGTTGTAAAATTACCTCTTCCTCCTGCTCTTGATCTGACTCTGATTCCTTGATGCCCCAAGATGCCATTCGAGATGGAAAAAAGGGAAAAGGAAGAAAACTTTTAGAAGGAAGGAATAAATACATCGCACCTACAAGCATCAAGGCAGGTACACAGTACACTCAGACTCTTTTCTTAAACAGTTTCTATAAGACAAACAGTTAAAGAAGATTGATCAAAGTTTATACATTCAAAGAGACAAAAGGAACAAATGATAAATATACTAATTCCAGACCCTAGGTTAAAAGCAGTCTCAAATCTTGATATTTAATGTGTCTGGTACAATTGATTTACAGAAATGGTGGTGACACTATCCCACTTACTATGGATACTGACTGAAAATGTCAAATGACATTAGTAAGTTTATGTTGAAAACATTTTCAATACATGGGCACTACACAAGTTTCATCATAATAAAAAGCTACGGAATTCTCAGTATATCATAAATGTGCAATGTTTGGCATTTTATTCTTTTCATCTTGAATTACTAAATAGAAACCACCCCTGACCACCATAGCATTAATAACTCTGTGAGCTATGTCTGGCCTCAAAGAATGTAAAAGAAAGTAAATGCGTTCTTTCACAGCATTTGGAGAGCTCAGAGACCAGTGAAAGCACATTGGCACTAATATCTCTGGGTAGCTTTTGCATCTCTCCTCAGTAACTCTATCACCAGAGACTAAACATTAAAGTGCATTTGTGTCATGGGATCACATTTTCTTGGTTGATCTATCTATTGCTACATTCCAATTGCATTGAAACATCATGCATATTATATGTGGAAATAGATATTAAATTTATTTTTAATTTCTAAGAAGAACTAATAACATCAAATATATGCTAGGAGTCTTCTTCTATACAACTGACCTCTATTTCCAAGAAGGAGGATTTAAACCAATACATACTGCAGCAACTATGATGGAGGCAAAGCTAATAGAGAATCCTTGGTTCTGCAGACTCAGGATAGAAAGTTTTAAGTATTTCCCTACTTCCCCTCCAGCATCCACTACTCATCCCTTTTCCAAGTGCAGAACAAACTGAACACTTGTAGCTGTTATGCACAGACTATTATCTGCAGCTGTCTATTTTTAAAAATTAGCTTAAAGGTGGGGGGAAGCTTTCAGAATAAGATTTCCCACATCACTTAACTGATTTAGTCGCCTTCTTTGATACATTCAGAATAGTCAAAAGTATTATGTCATAGAGAAAGAGTTAGATACAATTAACATTAGATAAATTTGCATCAGGAATTAACAAACCTCCTCCTAGTGCTGCAACAATTGTGATCTTCTCAAGAATATGTTTTTAGACAGATCATGCTAAGTTAATTGAAAAGCTAGTTTAAAATTCTTCAACCATTAAAACAGGACAGACTATAATATAAACAGGTGATTGGTTCAGGAAAAGGTAAAATTCTAGTAGTATGCTCTGAAACTTCAAGCTGACCCAGCTCTGAGTGAACAGTGAATATAAGCTAACACTCTACCATCCAGGTGGGAGGTAATGCACCAAGTAGCCTCAGGAATGCACACAGAAACAAGAACAGGGATTGACAACACCAGTTATTTTTTCTTTACAACTTAGCTCAAAAAGCATTAAGATTAAAACTCATCTTTTCTCTGTCATATCTAATATATAAAAATTAAAGTGCATTAAATGTCAAAGAAGGTGGGAATTGCTTTTTCTCTACTGAATTGAAAAAAAAATCACTGAATTGGGTAGAATAACAAAAATGATTTGTACACGTTCTTGTGTTCAATGTCTTTTATAAAGAATCTGAATCTTAATGTCTATGCTGCCTGGGAACACTACAGTATTCACAATACCTTTGCATAAATTGGCAGGGTGATGTTCAGGTTGCAAATGGCTTGATGCACCAATCCTCTTGTGGATTTCGGTTCCTTCATAAATGATAGTCGCCCGCAAGGTTCCTGAGTTGTATCACGTACCTTGAGTGAGAAAGACATATGTGCTTGACCTACGTTTGACAGCAGATGAGGTTTAAAGGAGAGGGGGGAATAATTTCAATCCAGTAACACTTAAAGGATAGACATAAGATCCACAGACGTAAAGCTTCTCCTTTTCTACTTTGGTGTCATCATTGTCAATAACACTTTGAAAATGTCTTTCAGGCATTTGTTGCTTTATAATGTACAATTGAAAAAAAATTGTACCAGGATGGTTTGCTATGCACATGATGTGAAATGAAGCTGACCATCATGCTAACTCACAGGCCTTGCCTCAAATGAAACCTGCCATTTGTTTGAGGAGAGGATGCTTCATCCCTTCAGATCTCCCAGCAAACTTCAAATATAAAATAATTATAAACTATGGCTACATTTCTGAACATTAGGTTTCCGAAACTAATTTACCTTTTTTTTTTTTAAAAAACTATGGTAAAATACACCTGCCATAAATAAAACTGTACATTTCTACTGTTTTCTAAGTGCTGTGAAGTAAGCTCATGAAGTTGTGCAATCACCACTACTCCCCAGTGCTTTCTATTCACCCAGGCACTGTGCCCAGTACAATTTTACTTTCCATTCCCTGTCCCTGGCAACCCCCACTCCACTTTGTGTCTCCATGGACTTGCCTGCTTTGTAAAGTGGACTCACATAGTATTTTCCTTGTGTTTTACTGACTTAGCATAATATTTTTAAGTTCATTGCAACATCAAAATTTCATTCAATCATTCACTTTTAGCTGTGGATTTGTAACAGGAAACATCATTTCAGATGTACCATTCAGTGGTCGAAGTACGTGCATTTCATTGTATAGCTATCAGCACTATCCAGAGGTGTGCCGAGGTTACTTCCCAAACTGCAAGTCTCTGCGTGGAAAGCAAAAATTCCTCCCCACCATATTCCTTTCCCTAATAGCCACCCTTTTACTTTCTGTCTTCATGACTTTTACTTCCCTGGGTATCCCTTAATAAATGGGGCTATTCACTATCAAACTTTCTATTACGTTGAATTGATGAAAGTGTATCAAGTCTATAGCTTTAAGTAGAATATTTTCTTATCGGACTATGAGATTCTGGGTCTTTTGAGAAGTTATTACAAAAAGTTTTTGGTGCTCTTTTGGTCTAGTGACATTCACATACTTTTTAAACTCTAAGTATGAATATATAAAAGTCACAGCAGTGAAGAAACAGAAGGGTTGGGAGTTTAAGTCACTAGTAGAGTTACTCCCTTTCAATAACTAGGCATGAGGCCCTAAGTTTAATTCACACACACACACACACACACACACACACACACACACACACAAGCACGAAGAGGGAGAGAAAGAAGAGAGGGAGAGGGAGGGAGGGAGAAAGAGAGAAATAGAGAGAGAGAGAGAGAGAGAGAGAGAGAGAGAGATACTTATATAGCTGGTCTTGACAGCTAGTTATTAAGTGGGATCAAATCTGGGAAACAGTATTTAATCTTATACTCTTAATACTTAGTAACTTGGTCATAGTTTCTCCTCATTGCCCTCATATTGTGGTCTCTCATTAAAATATATGGTTGACTTTGGACTTCAAAAATTTTAAAAATGTATGTTTTTGTAAACATTTGTAAAAATATATTTAAAAACTACTGGAAATGTTTGAGAAGCACATATTCTCACTATGAAAGTAACTGAAAACAGCCCTTGTACATGAGCAAATGTTTAACTGATTTTTATTTTTGTATATAAATTACCTTGACAAAGAGAGGAAGTCTGTTTTCTTTGAAGGCAAAAAAACTGAATATATGATGTTGGCCACTCTTGGTTAGTGGTACCAGATTGCCAAAACAATCAACATAAATAGGTTTTCCTTCTAATACCTAAGGTAAGACAGAAAACCAACACAGATTAAGACATCTACAATCATTTTTATGACATTTATTCTAACAAGTAGTAGGTGTACTTGGAATCTTCGGTTCTTAGAATATTCATAGGACGATGTTCACACTGCTGATTGACATCTGTCATATACATGCTTTGCCATACATAGTACCAGCATTCTTTCTTGCTACTAAGAATCTTCAATTGTATGGCAACATTCAATTTCTCATTTTTATTGTTGTATAAAGATACCCATAAAGACCAATATATGTCTAATACCTAAATATAAACTTTGTATTGGGTAACTTTGACATCATGATAGGAATCCCGGAGGACTTCAGTATCTAAACATCTACAATGATGGAAAGTTCTTTACAAAAAAAGGGAAAAATCAATGTAGACAAGTATTTAGCTGACCAAATACTTAAACAAAAAGAAGTACTTTAAAAGAAAATCCAGGAAGCTGAAATCACAGAAACTACTATAGTTATTATAAACTCATAGTTACCTATAGACTCAAAGTTTATCAATAACTTATAGTTTTTCTTCAGATAAATTTTACAGAAATCCTTCTACATACAGAGAGACCATCCATTTATGGTCCAAATTGTCAGAAAAATCTCTGATTTGGGACCTTGACCTTTAAGTGATAGACACACAGGCTGACCTTTCTTTTGTTAAGCAAATCTCCCTATATCTGTTTTGCAAGTGACTTGATAGTGAAAATTCAGGATGCAGCATGTCTATATTCTTACCTCCACATCCCTGCTCCTGGCCACCTCAGAGAAGTTTTCTTGTTGCTCAAGGGTCTTATCTACTTTATCATCTGTCATACAGAAACACCGCAACCGGGCTTCAATGGGGTCATGTGATTTGGCAAAGACTACAAATTTGGCCATATATGGTACACAGATAATTTCTCTATACACTTGCGATGCAAAGGAAACAGATTCCTGAATCTGCCGACAATCTATCAGCCAGAACCTACAAAAAAAAAGAAAGAAAGAAAGAAAGAAAGAAAGAAAGAAAACCAGTTACCTAAGTATAATTATGCCATTTGACAAAAAATAGAAAGAAAGAAAGAAAGAAAGAACGAAAGGAAGAAAGAAAACCAGTTACCTAAGTATAATTATGCCATTTGACAAAAAATAAATTCTTTTAATATGGCCAATATAGTCATCAAATGATTCTTGAAAAAGAAAGAAGTGAGAGAGATAGAGATGATAAGAGGACCTAGATAAAAGGGAAATAAAAAAGGAAATGGCAAGGAAGTCTAGAGGTATCAAGAAGGAGAGATATATCAGATTTTTAGGATTGACTATGATGAAGAGAGAATATGTTCAATGTACAATATACACTTAGAAGTAAAAGTCATTATGTAACATATTACCATGCATAATGAATAAATCCAATAGAATACACCTCCCAAGGCAAAGTAAAACAAAAAGATTGACTTAAATGTTCTAGTTGTGTTTCTCTTCTTGAAAACTCTTATTTATAACCAATCTTTTGACTTACAAATCGATTGCTTTTGGAATCTTTGGTAATAAAAGCTCTGTATCAGACTATGATATAGATTTCTTTGAGTGAGTTATTCTTTTCCTTTATTCCTCTCCTAATCGTTTAATCTTCTGAATCTTTCAACATCTTTTCCTCACTGCATCATCTTCCAAGAGACTCACCAGCCACTGAGACTCAATCAGACCAACCAGAAATTTGACGATGTTTACTTTTCCATTAAAGATATACAAATGAGAACTAATATTAGAATTCAATTACTGTATGTAAAAGAAATAATAGAAGATATCTTCAGCCTCTTAAAGATTTGTAATATGCAAGTGTGTTAGGTATATAACACATTGTAACTACTTAACCACTTAGGAAGCTATACTGAACTGTGTGTGTCTTGGTATTCTATTGAAAAAAACAACTCCCCATGTGTTGGATAACAGGAAACTTCTCATTCCTTGGGGACTGTAATCATCAGAAGTGGCTGCCAAAGCTATCACCAAGATCATACAGCCAAAGCAGACAGACCCATTTTTTCCATAGATCCTAATCTGAATGTCAGGGAGGATTTGGTTATTGTGTTGTTATCATTCATGTCAAAAAATGTAAGCCTTATTTCATATTCGACAACAATAATCAAAATCCCCTTGAAAGAATTAAGAAAAAACATCAAATGACAAAGAGAAAACAATCAGTTTGGGGAGGAACAAAGTAATATAGCAAATAGGCTTTTCTGTGTTGCACATACATACCTGGCAGACACGTTGGTTGTAAAGGAAACACATTCATTGACGAATGTTAGTGGTGTAGTTCCTGTGATGTCTTCCCATTGTGCAGGCGTGGTTCCACCTGAAATAGCATGATTGTGGAAGACAATTGGGCAAAATTCCAGACATTGGCCTTTCAAAAATGTCTTTGTGATTCTGACTGTTTACCTGTGTGATCCCTCCATGCCACAAAAGGGCACAATGGGAATAACATGGACTGAGATACAGGTTAGTGATAGAACATTTGCCTAGTGTGTGCACAGTCCCCTGTTCAACCCTCTCTGCCAAATAGAAAAAGAAAAAAGAAAGAAAAGCAAAACAACTTTCAGGGCTAAGGATGTGTAGCTCAGGAGTAAAGTGCTTGCCTTTTCTAGCAAATAACATGCTCCCAGTTCAATCACCAGCATCAGAAGGAAAAATAAAAAGTAAATTTAATTAAATCAAAATGAAAGAGTACAAACTGTCAAAACTATGTACCAAAAAGTACCCCCCCTCAAAAAAGCGAACACCACCTTAAGATAAACTAAATTTAAGGGAAGTTATATGAATATCTGTTTATTAGACATTCTGTACTTGACCTGCTAAAAAAGGGAAATGATTTTCCCAGTGCTGGATCCTGAATGTCACAAGATTGATGTGCTAGGCAAGAGTCCCCCACTGGTGCAATGGTGGCAAGACTGTTTATGGAGAACCAACTGCTCTTTTGGTTGGCTTTGAGTCTGATCCACTGGAGGAAATGCATATATAGTACCCTAAGCATGGTCACAGAGAAGCCATAAGCCCTAGAGGAAAACTATTGTTGTTTTTGCTAAATGATCATATTGTCAAACAGCCTTCTAAATATTTATGTTTATATCCATATATGTAAACTTTGGTCAGAGAAGCTCCTTACTGATATTGGTAATGGTTTGCAGAGATTCCTAACTGCTCAAAGTGCTGAGAATAAGAAATTGTGAGTGCTCAATAGGAGGTGGGACAGCTATAGCATCCTGTCAGGGAACATGAGCAAGAGGAGTGGGGTGGGGGAGTGAGAAGAAAGAAATAGAGAAAGGAAAAGAAAGGAAGGAAGGAAGGAAGGAAGGAGGAAGAAAGAAAGAAAGAAAGAAAGAAAGAAAGAAAGAAAGAAAGAAAGAAAGAAAGAGAAAGGGGAGAAAAGAAAAGAAAAAGTAAGAGCCAGAAAATGGGAGGAGTGCTGAAATGCTGTCTACTGGGCATGGGCTGTTAGACCTGGGTTACCTGTACAGATCAGCCCAGGAAAATTGCTGCATAGATAGGAAGGAACTGTCAGGGCACCACCCATAAATGAGGTGATATTGGCAGTTGCTGTCTTCTGGGGGAAAGAAAGGTTCACTTTTCTTTGAGGGGTAGTCACTGGAAGATCAGATTGCAGCTGGTGGATGGCCCAACACTGTGCACATATGGGCAGCACTAATAACTCAGTGGGTGAAAAAATAAAATTAAAAATATTTATTTTTAAAATGACTGCATATAAAGTATATAATAGTTTGATTTGTAAACATTGTTGAGTATGCAACTCATTCTTTTATTCACCTAGTTAATTAAAAAATGCTTCGCCTGAATTAATGTATCTAACCCCACAGCTTTTTTGATGCAGGGCTTGAACTCAGCCTTTCAAATACTGGCCTATATTCTCAGCTTTCAGGGCTACTTAGGACAAAAGCCACTGAATTTTTCACTACGCTCTAAATGCCTTCTAGAATTTTCTCTGCTAAAGTCACATATGACTCACCTGTTATGCTGCATAGTAATCTTAAGGTTGGTGCGTCTCCCCCAAAACCATTCAGCATGACATCACTTGAAGCTTTGGGGACGGGAATCGTCATGGTAATAGGCTTGTGAAATTTTCTTCTCCTGGGTTCCAAAGTGACTATAGGGCTGAAGGTTGCTTTGTTGCCTAGGATCTTCTTCACCAACTCACTGTGCATAGGTTGAGCCTTTCAAGGTAAGAAAGAACATTAAACTATATAGTACCACACTTAATTCCAACTATCACATCCAGACATTGTTTTTCATTTCACAAATGAGTTTAATGGATTTCAAACATGGCAGCTATAAGTTTAGTACTATTAAAGATTCACAATTAAAAAATTATTACATTTTATTTTTAATTTATTTTTTGTGTGTTAGAAGTATGTGTGGCTGAGTGAATGCTACAGCATACATGTGCAGGTCAGAAGACAGATGAATCTGAGGACGTCGTTTCTCATCTTTCATCAGGTGAGTTTCCAGACTTGAACTCAGGCTTAGCAGCAAGCCCCTTCACCAGTCCAGTCATCTCACCTGCCCCACCCTCAAAATTTTGTGAATCTTTAGTCTCTTGTGTTAGCCTTTGCTCACTCAGGAAAACTTTATTTAGGTGATATTTCAACTCTCGTTTGAAAACCTAATTGTAACCCTGGTAATAAAAATACCACAGTACCATATGCATCCTGCATGGGCATACCTGCAGGCCTACACGGATGCGCTTTGTGAGTGCACCCTCTGGAAAGACAGCCTGCACCTGTGACACCACGGTACTGCTCAGCACTCCGCCCTCTGGGCCAATCAGGTTGCTGTCCTGTTTGATCCGAGACACCACCGCAAAGTACTGTGGGAAGTCACGAGTGATGATACGGCAGATTCGTTTCTTTTCCAGGTCCTCGGGACTGTCCAGCACTGAGACAAGAAATGATCCATTTTCATAAAGCTAGTGACTCCCGAGAACATTCTAGTAGACTCATGGGCACGGTTAATAGTAGTCAGGAGGAGCAGCCAAGCTTCCCTTTAGTTAAAGCTAGAACACAAGGTCATCCTGACACCAAATAAATACTGGGATCTTTCACCAGCTGTCAGCAGGTTGCTGGTACACTTGGGGAAAACCCTGCTTTCCAGGGCAGTGGAAAAGAAGTGCATCTCGGGCCCGATGTGCCTGTGCAGTGCTGTGTCTTCGAGGGCTATCCTGTAGTGGAAATTAACATGTGCTATTCTTGGTTCATGTGATGGAGAGGAGGCTGCACAGGTACCTCCTTTCCTTTGCCAATTTCAAAGTTAGCTCAAAGACTAGTTATTGTTATCTTCAGAAATCATATGGTCCATTAGGTTTCGGGGGACCAGTCCGGTAATAAATTCTGTAGTGAATGGTTAAGATTTCTGCTTATAGACTCTGTCTTGTGGCATTGTTTGTGTCTGAATTGACATTGGTGATGACATCAGGGTTTCAATATTCCTCTGATGACAATGACTTAGCAAACACATGACCTAACAGCAGAGAGTGGGATCATGGACTCTACAAGTTGCTCCAGTGTAGGTATTTAGAGAAATAAAGGCAGTTAGACTAAGTGTCCATATGAATGACTGAATGAACTTATTCCTGTCTCTTTAATAATAGAACATTTAAAAGTTTTGTGCTGAGTTATTCATTATGAAATGACATCTCTACTGTTAGTTTTAGATTCCACAAAAGGTTGCATTAAAGGATAGAATCCTGCTGACTATACTTGTTAAAGGAATACATTTATTATCTTAAAAGACTTTATTTTCCTGAGTTTAACATAAACACAGTTAAGAAAACGGATGGATCAGGCACTAAAACTTGCTACAATCAGAACCCAGCAGATAATGCTCTGGAGTGAAATACCTCAAGAGGCACACATTTGCACACAAGTGCTCAGAGAACTGAAATATCTAAAAGCAAAGCACAATTATCATATCTCCACCTGAGAGTCCTTTAGACCCCTTAACCGAAGGTACCTTCATCCATGCCATTAAGGATCTCGTTCAGTTCGTCTTCAGTGTAGTCACAGAAATGCTCTTTCCAGCTGTCCCCGTTTTCACTTCGCAGAACCACCAGCTCCCTCTCCTTTCCTCGAAGGGCAGCAAAGTGAGGAATCTCCACGATCACCGGCCTGACACAGCAATACAGAACACTCAGTGTAGACAGGACAACCAATCCTGAGACAAGTACCTCAACACTGTCTGTTGCAAAGTGACCTGGAATTCTGTTCATTCTGGGGACAGGGACACAGTGGGCCTTCCTCCAGAGCCCAATGACTAATAGATGGTGACACAGTGGCACTCCACCTCAGGGGCACTGGTCCTCAAGTACATGCTGCTACCTTAAGGCAAATGATATTTCTCTGTGAGTGCATGTGGCATTCTGGAACTTCTCCTTTGATAAATGTAGGTATAGCAATTTAACCAAAAGAAATGTACATGCATGGCTATGACGTATGCCAATCTCCTAAAACATGTCCTACAGGTGCAAAATGACAACATGAGTTAAGAAAGAATATGGCTCATACATTGCATAATTCAATGTGTTATAAATGAGATGTCAGAAAGGTAGACTACTTGTGCTAATGAGCCATGCACTTATGGCTATTCTCATACTGTCTTCATTCAAGAAAACAATAGGCATGTGTACACAATGTGGCCCTAATGAGCCACTCAGCTGACAGTCCAATGGTGTCCAATGCCTATTATGGTCAGGATCCAGAACATGCACTGTCCTATGGCTTTTAGGTCACATTCATCCTCAACATAGACAGAGGCTTTTCATTTTTGAGTCCAGGTTGCTTTGATACAGACTCCAAACTCATCAAAACCACATCATGACTAGCACAGAGTACAACTAGGCAAGTCTCATGCTTGAACGAAAATGAAGGTCACAGCACTTTAAAGGAGAAGATATAAAACGTCACTCAAAAACAAAAGTCACATACCACAAGGGTCAGAAATGGTCCACTAAAGATAGGTTATACAGAGTTTAAATCATAGAGAGGGACATGTCATGGGCACAATGACGAAAAGAGAAATCATATCGCAGAAGAAGGAGAAGAATGGGGGCCAGCAGCCATCAATTTGTTTTAAGTCGCTCCTACCCAAGGAATTTGGTTCCAGGAGGCCCCAGCTGAAGGATGCGGCTGACCAAACTTTCTCCCTCATTAAGTGGGGGAGGAGCCGTTGGCAGGTGAAGTTTACTGAGTACATCCAAAGCAGCAGTGAAAGAAAGAACAGAAGTAAGCTTCAGGTACCGTGTCCACAGAACCCCAGCATCACAGGGTGAAGTTTGGTTTCACACTGCGTTCGGTTCTGCCCCCTCCATTGGTCACAAAGAGCAAGGAACTAGGAACTGAGACCCAGAGTGTACAATGGAGGTGCCTCTGTGCCAGGCCAGCACCTGGCTGTCAAGTCTGTTCCTATTTAGGTTCACTGCCAGGGCACTAGCCAAAAATGAAAAAAAATGGAGGGGAAAAATTGCTCTTTGGGAAAGACAAAACTGTTGGGAATATAGTAAAAACTCTGGACAGCAGCCAGACGTTTCCATAGATATTCCTCAACAGATTTGAAGGTTATTAAAAAAGCCTACAACAATGTAAGCAGGAGGGAGTTAGGCTCTGAAATGAACATCAAGAACATCAAAATAATCCAGCCATAGTGTCATTTTATGATGCAACCCAGAACTCCATAGGCTCTTTCCAAACCTCTGCCTGATAAGACGTGTAAGAGGTGGTTTCTACAACTGGGAACTAGCAACACATCCCTTTTGAATTTGGAGCAACCTGTTAACAATTTGCCCCAAATTACAGACTTTAGAACATTTTCAGAGTTCTAAAGCAAGAAATCTTCTCCCCAGTATGACATGAACAACAATGTAAAGGAATCCTGATTAGTAAGAGTTTTCTCTGTTTTAAGACCCAAGACTTAAATACAATTGATTTGTTTCAAAATGATTTGAAACTTGTTCCCTGCTCCAAAGCTTCATCCCTTTGTCACCATTCAGTCACGACTTTTCACCTCTTGACAGATTGAGGTGCCATTTAGTATGACAGTAGCCATACAGACAAACAGAAGAAAGAAGAAATGCTATTTTCTGCTCAAAATGGCCAAAATGACAAATGGCAGAGGTTAATCTCAGTATTTTCATCTTACACTGTGGCTTAGAAGCTGAAGGTAACAATTTTGATAATAGAAAAACACACAAATCATTTAGACTGAATTTTAGATATTCAATGAAGGCAGCACTCTGGTCTGAAGAGAAGGTAACTGTCACTGGATTCATAACGACACAAGGCATTAAATTTATGTTTCAAACAGAACACATTTTTTCTTTATATTTTGCCTTTTAGTCTCAGATGAGAAACAGAAATACTTACCAATGGCTAAAAAACATGGTTATACTATTGGGAATCTAGCAGCTACTCCCACATCCAAGAAGAAAAAACACTAAAACACTAGCAACCTGCATGTTTAACTCACTGACGCCTTATCATGGGAGTGTGGAAGTAAAGGCAGGCATCAAGGCACTATTTCCAATTAAAAAAAAAAAAGTCACAGGAACCTATCCTTTTTCAAAATGGCTTTGACATACCTTTGGTGTTCCATCCCATTGATCTCGGGTAGAGGGCACAAGCCCACCGGAGAGTAAGTAGACGACTTATGGGAAACCCTTACCCAAGGAACTGAGCTCCAGAAGGTCCCACTTCAATGAGGCGGCTGGCCAGGCCTTCTCCTTCCACCATTGGCGGCATCGTTGCCAGTCTATGGCGTTTCACCAGGCGGCAGGTGACTCGAGTTGGTGCTGTGCATTTCCGAGGTGGGATAATGATCCGGAGTCCATTGTGTCTGCATCCGCGCATGGCGCCACCACGGGCATCCACCATGAAACTGACCAGGAAACTGAAAAGTGAAAGAGAAGATTAGGCACGCTTCAAAGCAACGCAGCAGGTAATCACAAACTGTGAGGTCAATTGTTTTCTGGACTGTCTATTTCTCCTCAATACAATGCTTTTAAATGTAAGTGCCTTGCGGAAAAATATTTTTGAAGTTTATACTAATATCTATATTTGTATTACTTATTTTAATTTCTGTATAATTTTCATATGCTTCTGAAGAATAATTCCAAGTTTTGCTAGTAACTGGAATGAAATTGCACAGAAGATGGGCAAGCCTTCTGTCTCCTTATATGTCCTGTGCAATCCAAGTGTTCAAATAATATAAGGCTGCAGTACACAGGAAAGACAAAGTGTCATATGTTTCAACTTAGCTTTCCAAGATCACATCTGTCTAGCTTGTTTTTAAGATAATCTCATCATGACTGAAAAACAACCTCAAGGACCTTTTCTTATGATCAAATCTATGCCAATGTGTCCTGCCCACAAATCATTGTTCCCAGGGTGCAGATTTGTCACCAGTCAAAAGACGGGAAAACGGTTGGAATAGACTTTCTGGCTAAAGTGATGACTGCACTTTTAACCCGTCCCTGCACTCAGCCATTGTAACTGAAACAGAGGGTGAATGATGGGAACAAATGGGGTTCCCCCTGCTCTGTTTCTGTGGGGCAGGGCCAGCATGGGAAGCCAGGGCTCATGCTGATAGAGGTACTTTGACAGCATGATTTCCCCCAAATTGCAATAAACTGGAGGTGGAAAAGAAATTACAGTTTAAATATGCAAAAGCATCTCTGTGAGTTTTGTTTCTTTATTGTTCACTGACCACGACAAAAAGAATGGTAATCTCAAGAGTCTGTGGCTGTTGAATGTGCCAAGAGAAAGTGTCTGAACTCTGAAGTTTCTTTGGGGTCGTCACAAATCCTGGAGCAGCTTAGCTAGAATGCTTGTTACTACATTAACAATGACACTCACCAAGGTCCCTTGGTCACGCACCTCCTACAGAAGCAAAAGTTAAATAACAACAGTGTAGTTGTCCTGTACATATACACAAGGACATGTGTAAACAGAATGTAGGCTCTTCCACAATCACTCCAATGTTCTCCCACTTTCACTGCACTTGCAAAGTTTTTACAACAACAAAATGGAAGCAACGTATAGGTGTTTCATAGATCTACTGATAACCACACCAGCCAGATCAACACACCTAGATATTGCCTCCATGACAACACTGAAAACATTTGAAAGGGATTCCATCAAAGTAAGTTGTGGGATAGAAACATGGTACACTGGTGTTATTTTTTGTTTTAGGTAAGTGTAATATCATAGCATCCTCTTTGCGGCAGAACACAGAATGCATTAGACATGCCATTAAACAGAAAACCTGTTGCTAGTAAGAGAAATGGGTGCGGAGGAGCCCAGAGTACCCTCTGAAGCATATCATGCAGCATGAGACCACAGGAGCCACAGTCCTCCACATGCAGTAGCCAGGCTAGCCTACCATTCTCCCCTCGCTGTTGAGTTTTCAGGTCGGGCAATAGCTGCTATGTACAAGCAACAGTTCATACTGTGTTAACTGTTGATGTTCTGGGTGTTAGCAAAACACAATGAGAAAAGGGCTACAGCTTTTCATACTCAGTCTTTAGTATGAATTCTGAAATGTTTTGTTTCTGACTTTTAAATATACACGTTCACTCAAAGGAAGAACTGGGAATACTTCCAGATGAACAAGCATATTTTCTTTTATTATTTTTGAGTACATTTATATTGATGTCCATTTAAAAGTAGGAAAATTGCTGCTGCTGTTTCAACTAGCAGTGTTTCCAGATTCACTGTAATATTTCCAACTTGTTTATAGTTAAATTTGATACCTCCTTTGATTTTCCTCCCTCATAACTTTTTAAGATAGGATCTCAAGTAGTACAGCCTAGCCTTAAACTTTCTACATTTATGCAATTAACTTTGTACTTTGCCTTTACCTCTAAAGTTCTGTGGTTATAAATGTATAACAACACCTAGGGAATTTTTCAAGTCTCTGGTACTGTGAGAAAAGGAAATAGGTGCTAAAACTAGAAGGGATTATTATTACATGTTTGCTTAATGTAATGAACCCTCATAGTATCTATGTCTTTTGAAGAAAGTAACAAAGTTTCTGCACTCACATCCCAAGCCCTTATATTTCCATGGTATTATTCCAGTGATGGCCTTTAGCTTGTAGGATATTAATTCTCTACCCCCCCCAAAAAAAAAACACATAGAATATTCTTGTGGTCTACCCTCAAAGCAGAGAATCGGCTGCTATGTCCTTGACAGAGTCTATTATTTTCCCACTGAAGCCCTCTTTTTTGTGTTAACTTCCTCTGATTTCTGCTTCCATGGTCCTTTTGTGTGATCTGTTGCCCTACCACAAATGTCAGGAGCTGTGCCAAGATGTCACTTTATGCTTTCTTCCTTGCTTGGACCTGCTAACTTCTTTAGTCAATGAGATATCATCTGTCATCTCATCAAGGTGTCACCTAAGGGCTCTAACAATAGTGAATGCAATCTCAGTCCCCTAGTACTCAGTAAAGTATGGATGCAGCGCACTGTACAGAGTCAAAATATTTTTTGAGTAAATGAATGAATCTAAGAATGAAAAGCAGGCTATGACAAGTTATGTGTACTTACAAGGATCAGAGAGAGAGCAAGGCATGAGATAAGTGAATTCTTTGATGCCTGGCCAGTTATTACAATCAAACCTCACTCAAATCCCTATGTTCTGATGTGGCAAAGCAGGAAAATAGTATGTCTAATTTTAAAGAGTCTACTCCACACATTTACGCTCAGCTGGGAGATCCGATCAGATCTGGTATACTTGTTTCCCTGGGTAGAGGTTTAGTGGAAATGGAAGACTCTGAAAACTAAGAGCTTGAATGTAACAAAATGATATTTTTAAAAGTGATAACAAGATTATATGAAGAAAGACTGAAGAAGGAGGAATCAAAGTAGCAGAATTTAAAGACTGAAGCAGCATATAGATACACTTCCCAGCAATCATTCCTGTGTCGTGGGTGATTCAGAAAACAGTAAACTGGTAGAATTAAGCGCCTAATATGCATAATCCAGGGGGAAATGGCAAACTTCAGGAGAGGGTAAACCTCCATAATTACCGTAACTGAAGAAATGACATAGGCTACATGAAAATCACAAATAAGAGAGAGAGAGAAAGAGAGAGAGAGAGAGAGAGAGAGAGAGAGAGTAAAATAAAAAGATGCCAAGAAACAGAAAGGGCTGGAAGACACGAAACAACTGTCATTATTCAGAAGGAACAAATGCCAAGAAAAAGAAAGGGCTGGAAGACACGAAACAACTGTCATTATTCAGAAGGAACAAAGAGTATTATTGTAAGGTTAACCTAGAAGTTAAACATTCTAGGCAAATTTGCCTCATAATGTAATTGTCAAATGACCAATTAAGACTGAACTTCACTGTGTACTCCCAGAACCTCTCCTCTACATAGAAAGAGTAAGAGAAACATTGCCTGGATTTCATATCTAGGTCTACTTGTAAAGCCAGCAAGCTAACCAGTCAATCCCAATGGTTTCTAGCACAAAACTGGGTAAGCATTTGGAGATTTTTACTAAAAATGGAAGAATACAGAAAGATGCACTACCTGGATGGCTAAGGGAAGCCAGTTCATCTCTGCTATGTATAAAGCAACTGCCAACTCTGCAAGAGCCTTTTCTTTGTAAGGACTGTGAGGAAAGGAGAGAGCATGGGAGAAGTAACTCATGCAATGCTGGAATGTGTCAGCTAGCCTGCTGGAATGAACTGAGTGAATATAATTCTCTCACCTCTGAGGGACACTGGAAGTGAGACAATGCGGTCCCTGCAAACATTTACAGATGAAGGGAACTGAAGGAAACCGAAGAAGACAGCTACATACAAAGGAGATGGGATGCAAACTGAAGCTCAGCTCTGCAGTCTGGCGTGTGACATGGAAGCTTCCTTGTCCCTGGGTGCTGATCCTGTCACCACTTACAGTAATAGGGAGAAATAAATGATGTGTGGGTAAAAAAAATACAGATTCAATAAATGGCTGCTCCCATTATCTTCTTTTTCTGCCTTTTATCTTTTTAATGTCATGTTCATTAAAATGTACATCATACATCACCTAAAAAACGGTAAAAAAAATACTCATTGAGAGCCTTCAATGTACCCACATTTGTGCTAAGGGGTTTTAATATAATCAGTAGAGTTATGATTGCCTCATGAAATTGATTCTTTAAGCAGGATGTGAGGATTTTCTTACTACAGAACAGGGTGCTGTGCTGCCATGTTCTTTCCATGTCTGTTTTGAATTATTTCTGTAACCACAGTCAAGAAACATGACAAGTTCATTAGCTTTTGTTTTCATATGCATGAATTCAAAGATTTAGGTGAATAAACTCTGAACTCACTGCCTAATATTACAAATTTGATGCAGTTATGGCTAACTAGATCAGACAACCTACCTGAATATTTGATTTTAGATTTTCTGGAGGAATTCCTAATTGGAAAGCAAACTGTTACTGCTTCAATAAATGTAGTTTTTAACCCATGGTTAAATAGATGCTTTCTTGAAAATGTGTAGGCATACTGCGTTAGACATTGACTTAAAACTACAAGGGAGGGTGGAGAGATAACCAGGGGACATTGGCTCTGATGCATCTGACTCTTCAAATGACAGCAGTCATGCAAAGTAGAAATTCTGAAGTTTTCTAAATTGTGAGATACTATGTTTTCACAATTTAAAAAGGAATAAAAGCAAACACAATTCACTTTTATTAGGCAGAGGACTTGCTGATAAATATGCAATTTGATTAGCTAAACAGGTACATGCTTCAGAGGAGACAGCATAAAACAAGGATTCTGACTTTTCAAACAACTGTACTGTCCATCCCCAAAGTTACTGATACTTAAAATTTCCATTTAATTCATCTAGGACCATGAGCTGGGAACAGGGAGGAGACTGCAGCATTCGGAGTTAGTCACTGGGTGAAAGACAGAAGAAAAGATTCATCAGGGTGCTTCAGTGATGCCATGTACACAGCAGAGGTCCTGACTTCCACTCGGACTCGTGGTGCTGTTGGAAACCACACCAGGAGCTTCCTTCTCCATCATTCCCCTGTCCTTTACTAGTTCTCCAAATCCCACAAACCAAAACATTGATTAAAAAAATGACACTGAAAAGGGTGGTTCAAATTTGTTCAAATCACTCAGTAATTAATTACCAATCACTGTAGTCATGAATAGAAATACAATATTTAGGGTGTGCCTGAGAAGACATAAAAGGATGCTTAGACCCTTAAAAGAATGAAAACATAGAATTGTCTTATTTTTAGAGGAATAACCCATATTATCATCATGGATGACCAAAGAATAAAAATACTATAATCAGTAGCCCAAAGGAACTTTAAAAATAACTTCATCTAAATAATACAGAATGATTGCTATATTTAGAATGCAGATAACTCATTCCGTAGCACAATTGCAAAATATCAAAAGGTTGAACTTAAAACTGAGTTAGCAAAGATATGTACTATTAATAAGCCCTTAGCCTTTGGCTCACCTAGAATATTGCAAGATAAAAAGCAAAACAAAGAAGAAAAAGGCCTGAGTGCTACCAAAAATCACAACCTTTAATAAAACTTCAAAATAGCACTGCCAATTTGCATAATTATGGGAACATAATATTTCAGTTGGATGTAGCACTTTTCCTCCCAAAAGAAGCTGAGATGTTAAGGCCATGATCAAGACAGGAGTCTGTTTTAATTTTGATCCAGCTAACATGGTACCTACTGGTACTAAATAGACCCACTTTCCCTTCATAGGGAAAGTGAGCAATTGTCTTGATTTGGAGAACATAAGCCTCTGTATATGTTTCACTAGACATCATCAACACTAAAGCATCCTGAGGTAGAGCATATGCAGAAGGAGATGGCGAAGGAGAGGAGAACAAGGGACATGGTCAGAGAAGGAATTACGCAGAGGTTCACCTGCTGTTGTCACGATCAAGACATGGAGAGGCGCGGCTGCAACAGAATAGATAATTTAGCATGGAGAAAGAGTGGATAAGTGAAATATAAAGAATGAAATCAGATGTGACTTTGATTAAAATATTTAATTCATATACTAACACAGTGTTCACTGAAAAAAAGAGATGGAAATACAAGTAAGATATCACTCTATGCAAATACAACTAAAATGTCACTCTGTATGCGCTGAGAGAAGAACAAGCTTTGGGGCCTTCGTAGTTCCTCCCAGTTTAGGAACCTGGGGAAGTTACTTAATTACTGGATATGAAAGTGAAGCATTAATTAGCATTGGCTTGTGGGAACACTTAGCAAATACTAAGTGTCAGAGAAGCTAGGAAACACCAAGTGATATTATAATGGCAAATACAAAGTCTTAGATACTGTAGATGTAGTTTTGATTCAACTGCTGTCCATTTGTAATTCTTCCAATACTTTTTAAATAAGATAATTCCCCGTTGGGATATAGCAGAAGAAACACAAACTGGAAAGGAATAGCTTAAATGATAGCTTCTGTGGCAGAGATAGCATACAGTCTACAACAAAGTAGGTAACATTCTTTGGATAATAGTGGATAATAAAGATCTTGGCAAACATGATCTTAGTGCTTCTCCCCAAGACACCATGGCCTACTTTGAGCATTGTGGTCTTTCTCCTCATCCCTAATGTCTAGTCCCACTTTATAGTCCTACTCGTCACTGCTCTTTTCCCCATGGAGTCTGTGATTCATTAACCCCATGCCTGCAGGATTTAATAAGGTTCCAATGTTTGCTAACATGTGGAAGTATATTTTATTCAATGAATCAGAAATCCATCCTTCCAGATCAGTTGATTTGCTACTTTAGAAAACAATCTTCTTCATCTGAAAGAACCAGCCTTTGTGGATCTAAAAGAACTCCCAAGATATTTTAAGAAACATGAACAGCTAAATTAAACACTGGAAGTGCTTCCATAAGCGTTTACGTTATGCTATCCCATGCAAAATACACTTGGCTGCCTTATGCCTCAAACAGTCTGTGATTTGAGCAAACAGTTTTGAATACATCTTTCATGACTTTTTTGAAGTATAGTGCAAGGTTCACAACAAAATTGTCTTCAGCATGCTTTAAACGATCAATTTCATAGGCCTTTATTGTACTGTATCATATTCTAACACCTCATGAGTTGGTATTTAATTAATAACATCTGGCTGTCATTAAAACACTACAAAGACTTTCAAAGTGGCAATATATAAAGTTGAGTTGTAAAACTAGCTATTGGTAGGGAAACTGCCTTACATCAGCCAATTCATTATGCATATAGGCAATTACAAAGAATTGTAAAGTTCACATTTTTGTGCAACAATAAAGTTGCACAAACTTTACTATTATGACATTAGATGGGAGCCTCTAATAATAACTGTTTCTTGGATTCATGAGGAGTCAGTTGGGCAACTCAAATAATAACAAAAAGTCAAGCCTCTCATTTGTCCAAATAACTGAATGTATCAATCTGTGCAGGAAGCAGAGTGTAATCATTGGCCCAGTTCTTCTTAGCCAAGGACATCTCTTAAAAATGAAATAGAGGGAAAGTAAATAACTAGCACTGATTAGTGGTAGAAAATGCAGCTCGAAGTTAAGACAACTACTGAATTTAATGCAGCATTGTCCTCATGTATACGTTAGATATAATCACAAGCTTTCTTCACTATTCTTTACCCAAAAGTCAGTCGCCTTTCCCTTACATTTTAAGTGGGTTAAAACTCAGATCCCTGAAAAATATCTAACAGCTATTACTTATGAACCTGATCCATGATGAGTGGATTAATAAGGAATCAGTGTTATAAGACATGATGAATGCTACTCATATATATTAATATGAATGTCACTTTCAAACAGCACAGCTCTTGGAATCCTTAACTTTCTAAGGGTAATCTTGCTTCTCCCTAAAGTCCTCTGTGGCCCCATGTTTGCTCAACCACTACAATAGTGACACCCATAGATGATAGAAACAAGTCCATATTGGGATTGTGGGCTGAATGTGTTTGTATTGTCATTCAGAAGACTTGGGGCGCACTTTGTTTAACTTATTTGGAGTTTTGAGAAATGTGAAATGTGTATAAGGAGGATGCAGAAATAATAAAAGCTATATTCTATTAAGTACTTGTTTCTAGGTAAAGTCTAATGATTTTAAAAGCTTTAACTTTAAAGGAGTGACAAGCAGGTTGTATCCACTCTGTGAAAGGCATTGAAAAGACAGCTGAGAAAATGACTACATGGATGTGAAATCTTTTTATTCATATCCCTACTTGAGTTTGAGTTTATGGATCAGTGTGTGTGTGTGTGTGTGTGTGTGTGTGTGTGTGTGTGTG